CTCTCACGGTCTCTAGATGTACCAATCCATCCAGCAGCTGCACGTGACATTATTTCATTGCTTCATCTCCTCGTTGGACATCCCTTCCAGGGCATGCACTCTCCTTTGGCCACGACTCAGTCGTTTTGACTACCAGCTATCATTTACCTCGAGCAGCGTGCGGTATCTTACTTCATCATACATTTATCTAGGGCCTTAACCAAGGCGCTGTACAGTGCACTAAATATGGCACAAGATGATTGGCGAGATGAAACGAGATGAAAGGACGGGATATATGCGTGGAATAAACCAAGAGGGAAATGAGATGAATGGATTGATGATGGGTGACCATGGGGAGTTGGGGACGGCGGCGTTAGTACAAGTGGGGAGGAGAACAAGGGGAGAAGCGTGGGCAAAAGAGAGAATAAGTTATACTCTTTGGTTCTTTCGTTAAAGTCAAATAGATAGAAAAATTATAATAATTAAATAAAGTGAAAACATAAAATAAACCACTAATGTAGACTGTAGCCTGCTTTTTAATCGGAGTGAGTATACTGGCAATCTATAATGTAGACTGTAGCCTGGTTATTAAGTTTGGTGAGTGTACTGGTTGTCTATAATGTATACTGTAACAATGGTTATTAAGCTGGGTGAGTGTGCTGGCAGTTTATAATGTAGACTGTAGCCTGGTTATTAACCTCGGTGAGCGTCCTGGCAGTCTATAATGTAGACTGTAGCCTGGTTTTTAAGCTGGTGAGCGTATTGGCAGTCTGTAATGCAGACTGTAGCATTGGTTATTAAACTCAGTGAGCGTACTGGCAGTCTATAATGTAGACTGTAGCCTGGTTCTTAACCTCAGTAAGCGCATTGGCAGTCTATAATGTAGACTTATTACTGGTTATTTCAGTAATAAAATAAAATAAATAAATAAAACCACGACGTTTCGATTGCAACACAAGCGGAAGAGGGGTTAGCCTCTAAAGGCAAACTGTTTATAAATGCTAGATCATGGGACCTCCTTTGCCAGTACCAAAATATGAGAATAGGTTTTCCCCTTTTTTCTGGCAACAAAACAGCTGTAAAGATGTTAAAACACCAAACTGAAACATTTTTCAAGGAATCATGTCTGCATTAACCACAATACTTGTGGTCAGAATGTCTATCACATCAGGTTTTTGAGATATCAAATATTGCATTTTCAATAAAAACTACAGAAGAAAAATATTAAATAAATGTGGATATCTACATAAAATGATGTTATAAACACACTATCCTAAAAATACAGCACCATATTTTAACACTAAAGCAGTCACTGACTCGCAACAACTTGCAATCATAAGTGACAGAGTTAATTTCGGGTAAAATCAATGAAAATGGGGTATGCCGATAGCATAAAAATGAGATGTGATAGAGCAAATCTGAGATCATATTTGGAATCAGCACCCTGAAATTAGTCCAAAACAGCTGCAAAAGTCCAGGCCAGAAATTTTTTTGTTGACCAGTGAATTTCCAACCTATACTGACCAATGTGGTGAAGTATGTTCAAACAACCCTCGCGGCCAATTCAGCCTGGGCAGGCCTTCATCCAGTAGCGGTATACATGTTTTATTCATGTATTATCGTTGAGGCAATTAGTGTAACTAGAAACATCTAAGACACTCAGTGTTAGCCCAAAGCAGAGTCAGCCTCAAGTTCGGTTTAAGTTTCATGCGCGACAATTAAACGTATAGTATACGATGGGCATTATCAGTGAAACAAGTAATTATATCGTGGATTGTGACACTACATCCAAAAGAAAACGAGGAAATTTGATTAAATTTAAAAGGGAGATAATTTAGAGGTGTGTGACAGGCGTAATGAGCAGGTTAGATGTAGGAAACTGAGAAGCATGCACATAGCTTTTAGTGCGCCATGGTTAATTGAACTTAATGGACTGAATTACTTTTGATCTCATCTCCTGTGGTCATGCCCCTGTGCTTGACACACGGTCCTGTGTATGAAAGGTAAAGGCGCTGCCCTGCAACTGCTCGCTCACGCCACTGCCTGGAGAAAGGGCCTCCACTAGAGGGAGATCTAGAGAGCCACTGCTAAAATGTATTTGGCCTCCTCTTCCACATTGGCCAGACGTATGAGAAGAGGTGTGCATCGAATGTATATTGTAATGTTGAAGAACCGTTGCTGTACTCGGATTTAAGCACAAGGTGTCAGTATGAGATGCAAGATTCCCAACACGGACGAGAAGTGTTCCCGTGCAAAATGTCCTGATTAGTCATGTAACTGTAGTAGTACAGCCCTGTTGTCAATCCACTGCCGTGCATGCCGTGCAGGTGGTATGACCAAAGAGGGAGCATATATGGGAGCTTAACACGTAGGCTTTCGCGACCAATATTATTCATAATCAACGTTTTTGGGTTTAGATCGCGTTATTTATAAATGTGTCGTAACCCTCCACCACCCGACACGGCCAATCAGTAAAAAAGTGTCACGTTGACAAAAGACAAATAGTTCACTGCTTTAGCCCACCGGTGTGTTGAAGCGTGAAACCACAACATTTACAATTTGAGTAAGACGTTTCGCTGGTAATTGCATCCAGCATCATCGGGCAATTCGCCAGAATGGTGAGGCTCTGCTGTGTCTCCCGTTCTTATATATGGGAGTGTAGAAGTACAGGACAATATATGTTGCTGCATTGCCCTTTGCGGCCCACAATGTAGCCCACAACTTACAATATCCATTCTGCATCATAGTGGTGACTCGTCCACTAACTATACAGCAGGCTAAAATCTGCTGAGCTTCCGAAGATCAGATTGGGTGCATTGCAGGTGATTTTGTCTGAGGCACAGTACTGTGTACACGTATACCGTAGTACTGGTAGGAACCTCCTGGTTTCACCAGCCCACAGGGGATTATTGTGTCCGTCCGTCGTGCAGGGAGGGGCTGGGTGGGGAGGGGAGGGTGGGGAGGGGAGGGTGGGGAGGGGCTGGGTGGGGAGAGTGAGGCTGGGTTGGGGGTGGGAGGGGTGGGGCTGGGTGGGGAGGGGCTGGTCACCCCGTGGTGCCCTTATAAAACTCAACGTTTAACCTACTCACGCCGGCTTGTGCCCGCCCTCACAGTTGGGCATATTTGTGGAATACACCACGCCGCCGTTGACCCTGGCCATTGACCGAGCAACCCAACGTTCCTACCAGCTCCCTCCGCAGCAATGTGTTATAATGCACTGTATTACCATGTTGAATGAATATTATGAATAGAAAGGTGTCAATGTATGAGGTACGATTCAGCACTATAGATGAAGGCTAAATAAATGTTCAGATTACGGTTATGGACCTGAAATGGTTTGGCGTTGTGGTTATGGGTTCAGACTCAGTAGGACTGCCCGGATTAGCACGGGTGGCTACGTATGATGCGAAGGAAGTTCAACGTACGTACTGAAGGGGGTGCGACAAAAGGAATGATTTATCCCGGGCCTTACACAAAAGAGGGCCTCATAGTAGGCCTGCAGATGGTGGAATAAGGGGGGCACACGTGGCATTGTGCCCCGGGCCTTCAGGAACCTCTTAGCGGCCTTGAAGCTTGGCTCAGGTATGGCTAGTGGTTAAGGCTAGGTGTGTTTGAATGAGAGTAAGAGGCTTGCTAGGTTAGAAGTTAGCATAAGGAATAGCATTGTTGTAGTTTTTTTTTGCTAGGGATAAGCTTAGTATCAGTAGGTTAGGGTAGTGAATAGACTTACAAGGATTAGGGTGAGGTTATATTTGAGACTTGTCATCGCTGGGCCAAGTGTTACACTTGTTAACATGCAAAGAATGGTCCACACAAATGCATGAACAACCAATTCATGGTCAATTTAGTATGCATTCTTAGAAGAAAATTGATTTTCACAGGTGAGAATTTTCAAGTGGTGTTATTCTCACGGCATTACAGTGACACTACGGCTCCAGGTTGAGGATGCAATGAATCCGCCTCGGGTTTTTGTGTTGCAGTCCGCGTGGATTCATTAAGAAACTGGAACGTGTTGGCAGTGGCCTTCTGTATCAAATGAGGGCACAAGCCACCCACGCAGCTTCCCAGGAGAATGAATCTGGTGTAAGCCCGCCACTGATGCATTATCACCACACATGGTCTTTGGGGTGGCAGAGTGGTGCAGTGGTAACACTTGTGTGTGCCTCACGGCAAGACGGGCCTCTGCAGTTTGATTGCGGCCTTGGGCACCGGTCCGTGTGGCCTTTGTATGTTCTAATACCAACTCTGGCATTTGCCAGACTCGTGCAGCAAACCTGCTGTTAATCACTGCTGTTGTTGGCCAGATATCCTCAATGCTGAAAAATTACCTGGAAATTTCTCAATTTGGATTACACATAGCAGCAGCTCCCTACTGTGAAATCTGGGCAGGACGCTCCTGAAACACAGTCTTGACTCAGGCTTCCCCAGGTAAACAATACTAATTCATTAGTCCTCCTGCATGACGCATTGTCATCTTATACTGGAAAACCCACATGGGGACCTCGTTGCATATTTAACCTGGAGCCTGCTGTAATGCCACAATTATTTTTTATGTATGTTGAACTTCAATCGTGCTTATCGGAGGTGAGGTGAAAGGGCAACAAACTTAACACAAAAGGCAGTTCTAAAAAAACGAATTTTCAATTGAGGTGATTTAAAAGTGCATAGCCCCAGTAGCATCCTAACATCGGGAGGAAGAACGTTCCAGACGGCCGCAGAAGTGCGTCTGGAAGCGCGCGATGCGGTGACCGTCTTTGTTAGATGCTGCTGCTGCTGCTGCTGCGAGGATGACCGGAGCCGCAGGACTAATGTGGACACTCAGAGCCGGCCCAGCCACTAAGCGACCCTTGCAATTGCAAAGGGCCCCGTGGCCAGCAGAGGGCCCCCTAGAGTCACTGCTAGATAGTGGATGAAAAAAAATCATACATCAAAGGGGCCTCCAACCAAATTTTGCTTAGGGCCCCCAAAGGTCTAGGGCCGGTTCTGTGGACACTGCTTGGCCCTGCTGACAGAAGACTCACCTTGATGTGAGCCATGACAATCTTCCGTCCATCTGCAGCATCGCCCACCGTGAGCCGAGGTGGAGCCACTCCTGTGAGCAATACACAAAGTAACTCTAGATTTGAAGCTTTCGTAACTGCAAGGATTCATATTCTTAGGTTTTTTTCGGTAAAGTCACGTAGGTAAAAAAAACTTGATACAGCTATCGTGCTGTGACTGTTCCGCCTGAAGACGGAAGCTTGTGTTGCCTCCCAAACGTCGTGATTTTTATTTTATTTTACTTTTATTAATTTTAATTTTTTACCTACGTGACTTTACCGAAAAAACCTAAGAATATGAACACAGAGTAACCTTTAAAAATCAATTTAACTTTTGATATTTTACATGTAAAGCGAAACCAGGTGGAGTCGTGCTCACACCTTGATTGCATTGTAAGAAGATGTATTATAACATAGCCACTACTGAATGTCGTAGTTAACAAAGCATGTTCTAAATGTTTCAGAGAGTACTGTGCTACAATATATTTCTTAATATAACAGTCTACAACCCTATGGATTGTAGGCTGGCTTGTAAACTGTAGATTCTTGAACCCTACGTTTTGACTTCAAACTTTCGTGACTGCAGGAATTCATATTCTATGGTTCTTTCGGTAAAGTCACGTAGGTTGAAGAAAAAAAAGCAATTAAAAATATCACGTTTCGATCAAAACGTCGTAATATTTTTAATCACTTTGTTTTTTCTATCTACGTGTCTTTACCGAGAGAACCATAGAAAATTATTGAACCCTTTTTACCGCATTCTGATTTTAAAACCTTATCACTTTAATTTTTGCAAAGGAAATGTTTGCTTTGACAATTAGACTGCGGTCAAATGGTTTAGAAATCGGCAGCCCACTGATTAAATTGTTAGGGCCGGCAAGCATGCGTGACTGCGTTTTATAATTTACCTTTAAAGACAGCGCTATTGAATAATGAATTGAGTTTTGTGTTATCTGTATTTGTGCACCACTGCCAATGCAGCAGTATTTCAGAATTATTAGTTGTATATTAACAGTTGCAAGGAGGCGCTGGGGTTATTGCTCCGTTGAGTAACATCGCTTCAACTGGTAATAAAATGTACCGATTTTATTGTTGAGCTTTCATTCAGCAGTGGGTACACATTACAAACAGGCATGTAAAATTGAACACTGTGTACATTAGTGTACGTGACAAATATAATTAAAACATGAGCTGTGCACAGCGGGTTTAACCGTTACTTGTTGTGTTGCTTAGATTCAATACCAGACTCGTTGAACTGTATTGATGCTGTAAATACATGTTTACGAGTTTGTCTTAAAAAGTTGTGACGTAAAAAAATTATTGGATTGCATTGGCAGGAGTACGGAGACTACAAAACAATGTTTAATGCCATTTGTTGATCCATGAAAGTATCAATGAGTTTCATTGATTGTTTTTAACGGAAGGTTTTGCATGTCAATGTGTGACGGGTTCCATGTTCGCTGGTGGTACCATGTTACGTGCTTCAGGTCATGCAGTCACATCTTGTGATGTTCGCCAATAAATGTTTATCGTAAAATGTCATCGATAATTGAAAATGTGCAAATTATTATTTTATTGCTTTCAAATCGTGTATGCATTTGTGTTTTTTTGTGTGCGAACAATTGAGTTGGGTCGATACATGGAGAGGCGTTTGATCGAAGTGGTATTTTGGTGCTGTGCATTACCAACTATGTTTGCAACGTGAACTGCAGCTGCAGCGTCACCGGTCCAAGCCCTGTAAAATCGATATTGCAGTCAACACCCGATCTTTCTTTTCATTTCAAGACAGTTGTTAAAAAAAAATCTGCAGCATATAATTTCAATATTACCATAACATGAACTGAAATTAATTCCATTTGTGTTCCCTTGTAAAATCAGCCCTTTTGTCAATATTGGTAGCACCATGTCGTCACCTTATGGCAAATGTCTATGCAAAAACAGTCAAGGTACGTCCTAAAATGTGTTTCATTCTGAATTCAAATTGCTGATGTCGGAATGCTGAGATTTATACATTACGGTACGGAAATGATCACGACGCGAGTTAATTGCATGCAATGCTTTTATAACACTGGGATTTTTGCACACAGCGTTGGTGTACGGTGTTTTTTCTGAAATATTTTGCTGTCTTTTCTTGGATTTTCTGTTTGCACTTAGTCACATATTCACTTTAAGATGTTTTCTTGTTCATGTTTTTGTTTTTTGTTTCTTGCGGTTGCACCCGATTCAAGAGCCGAATGGCTCACAGGGCTATACCTAATAAATGAACTTGAACTTGACACGCATCGCACGCGTTTGATGTCTAGAATATTTCAGGTATTATCCCTTACACTGTAAACTGTTATTATACCGCAGTTTAAACCGCAAGATTGAAATGTTGCCAACATATTCCTCATAAACGATACAGTAGTGTCCTAAAGTTGTTGCTTTTACGACAAAGCTTGAGTGATTTTCAACAGCAAATGGTAGAAGCATTCGAAACAATCACCCCTGAATTGTTGGTGACGAAAGGACCGTTGAGTAGTCTTCAACTCGACTTTTCAAGCAGACACCTCCACACGGACAATCTGTTCGGGTTATGGGCCACGAGGGGAACGTGCACCCAGTTGTAAAGAGTGGTGTGAAGTTAAATTGCGGCCAAAGCGGATTATCGACTTACGGTAGCCGCTCTACTTCCAACCTCTTGTTGCCACTCTCAACTAATTCCCAGAAGACTGCAAATCCTCGCAACACAGATGAAGCAATTGTACTTTCGCGAGCCGATTTGGATATCGGCATACACATCCCTTACAAGGTTGTCCTTACTGTGCAGCCTACATCGTTTGTCTTCCTCTTTTTAGAGTTTTTTTTTTGAAAATGAATCAAACCAGGATATCGATGGTTCCTCAAATACTGTGACTGGCTTTGCACAAAATATGTGGTGCCTTGTGCTTACTGGTGCCTTTTAATTTGTAACTTTGATCCTCATACGTGTGGTATCGATAGTTTCATATTAATGTGCAATTTAATTGAGGGACTCCTGTGTATTCTTGGTTCTTTCGGTAAAGTCACGTAGAAGGGAAATAATAAAATAATAAAAATAAAGCACTAAAATTCTCACGACGTTTCGATTGCAACACAAGCAATAATCATCAGGTGTGGTTTTCACACCTGATGATGATTGTGGTTTTCACACCTGATGATGATTGCTTGTGTTGCAATCGAAACGTCGTGAGAGTTTTATTGTTTTATTTTTATTATTTTATCATTTTCCTTCTACGTGACTTTACCGAAAGAACCAAGAATATGAATCCCTGCAGTCACGAAAGCTTTAAATCGAAATTTGGATTCCTACAGTTTAAATAGTCTTATTCTGATGATGCCAAAAGTGATATTTGTATGATATTTAACAGGTGGTCTTTTTTGGTTGTTAAATACTCGATTGGCTGCACGTGACTAACATGTTGGTTCGTCAATCAGTTTGATGCGAGGTTTCCATGGAGACCAGACATCACACCTGAACTGTGCTCGACAGCTCTCGGTACAGCATGGCTTAGCTTTTGTTCCAAACACTTAAATAACTCTGAAGCTCCGCGGGCTTGACTGACCCCTGCACCCCTGTCCGTGCCATGGCTGATTGAGCTAGGTTATGGTATTCAAAGAAAAAAATTGTACGTAATTTTACACAATATTCTTACAAAAAAAACACAGCCCTGAAATTGACGTAAATGAGAGAAGTTACTGAACACGTGTCTCTCTGACACGTTGACCCCGTGATGTCAAGGACACGGACTACCCAGACTGATCGTTTCGTCTCATTCATACGACGTTCAACCACCATGCCGCAGGTCAAAACACTTCTCTTACCACTCTCATATTTCCTTGAACTTGCTAGACTTTGGAATCCCCTCCCATCATCTCGTGTATTCACTAAAGTTGGTATTACTTTGCTCAACTCAATACACTATCTAACACACCTACAATAGCGTCGTTACTTGCTGGCTGCCTAGCAGTTTGGACCTTTGGGCCTGTGCTGAGCAATTGTGATTTCACAATTTTTTTTCAAGAGTGGAAATTCAGCCCAGATGAAATTGGCCTGCTTCCTTAGCAAAGCGAGCCATGTGGCCCATAAGAAGTGGCTACATGGCCAGGTGGGAATTGGCTTGGGCTGGTGTGGCTTGCCACGGGAATCCAGGCCACGGTCACTTCACCGGTTGGTGAATGGGCTGGTTGCAGCCCAATGATCGTTGTAACAACGCAGCATGAGTATGTTGAGGTTATGTTCTAGTGGCATTATATTGGTGGTCTCTCAACGTACCAACCATCAAACCTTTTGGCTAACCATCAATCAAAGACGGTCACTGCATCATGAACTTTGAGATGCGCTTCTGCGGCCGTATTGAATGTTTTTCCTGCCGATATTAGGAAGCCACTGGAGCTATGCACTTTTAAATCTAAATTGAAAACTCATTTCTTGAGAACTGATTTTTACGTTTCGATTGTTATCCTTCCCCTTTGCTTAGCACGGTTGATGACATAAAGTGCAAAAGAAGTTCAACATACATATGATATGTCTCAAACATTGGAATTTTGTGGAGTTAAGACTTCAACTCTCGCCATGAAAGAAGTGTTACTCATGCAAGCAAATTGGGGCCTGACCCCATAAATTATAACCACTGCTTCCAGAAACACATATTTAATACTTCTGAAATGCAGTTATAATCCCATTAAATTTTTCGGCTGCTTTATAATTCCTTGGCATTTCCAATAAATCAGCACATAAGCTGAAAGTGTCACTCTCTCATCCAGCGCTTTAAATATTCTCATTAAAATTTCTCATTAAATTTAATGTTCATATGCCTCACACGGAACACTGTCAATTAATCAGCACCCAATGCCGGTTGTCATTGGAATCCCCTGTGACATATGAGCTACTCACAAGAGCGTGAGCCATTGGGTAAGTTTTCAAATTGACACTGCAGGTACACCCAGATTAATTGTATACTTTAAATACCCTACATGTAAGGATTAACCAATAAGTTATCTTCTACTCTTTGGTTTTTTCGAAAAAGTTACGTAGGTGTAGTGACAGAACGGTCACTACTGTGTTGGCCCGTACGAGGGCTGGGGGCCCCAAGGGGGTGCCTGGGGGGTCACGTGCTGGAGGGATCCGGACCTTCCCAGAGGTGGGGGAAGTGAGGCGTGGCCTGGGAAGTGAGGCGTGGCCTGGGAAGTGAGGCGTGGCCTGGGCGGAGCCGGCCACGCCAGAGAGACGAGATATAAGCGTGGTGTGAAGGCAGAGCAGGGCTGTTCCTGAGAAGAATGAAGACACCTCGTGAAGATGCCAGAAGAGAAGACCTACAGTGAGCGGACTGCCAGCAGCCACCTGGCTGGGTCACGCTGGAGCGGCTAAAATACAATTGTGTGTTAGCTAGTGTAGGTCGGTGGTCACCACCCTATGTGTAGAGTAAGAGTAACTGTTGAGTAAACGTTGTGTTAATTAATAAATGAGTGTTGCTTCCCAAGAAGTGTGTGCGCCTAAATTGAACCCATTACATAGGTATAAAATATAATAAATTAAATCACGACGTTTCGGAAGCAACACAAGCATCCATCATCAGGTGGGACAACCACAGCAAGAAACAAATTTCTGTAGTGGGCAGCAATTTTTTCTTGCTGTGGCTGTCACACCTGATGACGGACGCTTGTGTTGCTTCCGAAACGTCGAGATTTAATTTATTTTATACCTACCTGACTTTACCGAAAGAACCAAAGAGTATGGATCTCTGCAGTCACGAAAACTTCAGATCTAGATTGAAGTTATCTTCTATGCCCAAGATCATACGAACGTTGGGTGTGTACTTATGTCCTGCATGGATCCACTTTTAAGAAACTAAGATTACTCAAACAAGAAAAATGTAGAGATATTAATTCAGTAAAATATATCAATGTAAGTTTCAGACTCAACAGCAAAATGCAAACAAGGAGAGTGCACTTGAATGTGCAAATCCATGCCCGAATAGTTAAAGTTGTCATGCTATTGAGTAAGCTGAAAGAATATAACATCAAGCGTTGTGAAGCTGAAAGAATATAACATCAAGCGTTGTGAGAACGAGGTAACCCGGTGAATCATAGGTCAGAGCGATGAGCTTGCAGAGCTGATGTCTGAGTTCCAAGTCAGGGCAACTGCTCGTGGTTAAACCAGTTTCCCGCTCATAGCGAGTGGATGGTATCAGCCTGATCGATACTAACTGCACAAACAACAAAAAACCCCTATAATATAAACTTGGCGTTGCACGTTATTTCGCTAAATTCCAGATCTAAAAATAAATAAGGAAATTCGTATATATGCATACATTCTGTAACACTTTCCAACATCCGTTTTCCCCCCCCTGGAATTATTTAAGAAGCAAACGTAACGGTAGCGCTCACGGCGTGCACGTAGGAAGCAGTGCGTAGACCGTGGTGAGACAATGTGAGCTCGGATAGCGGCTCTGCCAGAAAGGGCCGCGCGTACCTTGACCAGGCAGGGCCAGCTTGTAAAGATAGGTCCTTTGAAACCGAGAACCCTTTGGTGCAAAGGCTAAAAAGGCCATTTATGAAGTGTTGTGAATTATTATTTTTTGCGGTGCCGTTCTCTAACACATGGGGTGCGTGAAGGAGCAGCATGCAGGAGAAATTGAAAGAGCATGATGAACTGTGCACCTTCAGGTCATGGAGGGTGATATATTGCAGGTAGTTCCTTGACAATGATTCAGTGTTTGTGTAAGTGTAGTGACATCGTGGACGTCACTTTTTAATGCCGGCCCTAGAGAGGCACGGCGTGCGATGAATGATAGCGCTGAGTGGCACCACGCTCGGCGTGCAATGCCGACCCCTACAGGATGGGGTATGAGGTTGCCAGCCAAGGGAATGGGGTTACTATAGGCCATGGCACTCTGGTTGACCCTAAACGACACGTGACCGGTAAAGTCGACAAAGGGGCCCCAGGTGGGGGCTAGGGGTGGTCACGTGTCAGGGTCGAGATCCTGCTCGAGGGTTCAAGAAGGTGGTCGTGGCTAAGGGCGGAACCAGCCCCGCCACAGAGGATATAAGCCGGGTCCCTGAGTGGGACCGGCCGCTTTTGTTCATCCTGAAGAATCTACACGTTCTACGTCCTGAAGAGTCACTAACACGTGGACCCAGACCCATGCTGTGGTCTGGTCCGTTGTAGCTAGTTACAGAGTAATTAGTGCAGTTAGCCTGGTGGTCCACCACCATAGGTTGTTAGCTTGTTAACCCCGTGTGTTGGTATAATAGATATGTGTTGCCTCTAAGAAGTGCGTCTGCGACTCGGTTGAACTCACTACATAAGTATGCAAACGTGAATACAAATGAAACCCTGTCTTGCATCCTTCAGTTGAACAAGTGCATTGTTGTGAGGTCGAACCATCGAACAAAAATAGTCACTGCATCGTGCGCTTTCAGATGCGCTTCTGTGGCCGTCTGGAACACTCTTCCTTCCGATATTAAGAAGTCACTGGAGCTATGCACTTTAAATCTCGATTGAAAAATAATTTGTTTAGATTTGCTTTTTGTGTTTAGTTTATTGTCCTTTCCCCGCAGTTCCGATTAGCATGGCTGGCTACGTACTGTGCGAAAAAAGTTAAACATACATACAGATAATCTAAAGAGCAGGCATGTTGGTGAGAATGTTCACTATATTTTTAAGTAATTTACGAGGTGCAAAGGAACCCTTCATCCATCTTTCAGAGATTGAAATTCATCTTTCAGATTCAAGCCTTAAACAGATTGATGAATTTCAATATTTAAAATGTAAGTGTTCACATTTAACTTCACCAGATGGATGGTCCAAATCTCTGGATTAATTCATTTCCATTTGCTGCCAACAAATTAATCACTGTCAAACTGTAACCTTCGCAGCACCCAACACAGCCAGAAGATTCAATTTAGCATAACCCATGCCAAGACAGACGCGTTTAGAACCCTCAAGGCACACAATGACATTGTAATATGATTGACTGACATTGTGATACCTTGGTGGTTCGGGCAACTGACTTGTATAAGGAGTAAGCATTCAGAAAGCGGAGTAATATCTCATCTGTACTCAGCAGTAACTTCACTGCAAAACACGACATGTAACTCCGTCCTAGTCCGGACTTCCGCTGGCAACCTAAAGAAACTTCAAAGACTACAAAATAACCTAGCACGCGTCGTCATTGCACACACTCATCCCCGTCTCGACTCACTAGCTTGTCTCCGTGCTCTCAACTGGCTACCCATCGCCAGTAGGGTCACATACAAGATCGCCTGCCTCTGCCACAACGCCTTCATGTCCGCCTGCCCGCCGTACCTCTCTTCATTATTGACAACTTGCAGCTCAGCGACTCACGACCTCCTCTTGATACCAAGATCCAGGATGGTCATCGTGTCTATGCGCCGCTTCTCGGTGGCAGCCCCAACAGTCTGGAACGATATCCCTCTGCACATTCGCAGCATCACCTCAATCGCCTCCTTCAAGAGACACTTAAAAACTCACCTCTATAACCACGCATTCGAGCGATTCTGAGCTTGGCTCCGCGCCTCTGATTTGCGGCCACTACGTCTGCAAATTTGCGCACGTTACAAATTGAACTATTATTATTAAGGAAAGTCTGCGATCACTTTTCAGTCACGGTGTCTTACCTGTGTTTTGCAATACAGTACTTCATTTCACAGGCATTTTGTAAGTGTTTTTTTCTTCAATAAATAATTGTGGAAAAGCCGAGCGTGTGCCGTGCGATCTGTTGACACCTTGAGCGTGGCCATAGATATTAATTAATAACTCCAGTGATGTCATGAAATGTAAGTCCATACAATTAAACTCAACACAGTGGCATTGTCACAAACCCTGTGGTGAAGTGGAGATGTGGCGGCGAAATCATCTTTGTGTGGAGGTAGTTGCTAGCTGCTAGGGAAGAGGCAATGTGATGATTATCTGTACAGGTGCTGAGCCTCCCCTAGGTCGACTCAACCTCAAATGAGTACCTGGTGCAGTGTGCAAACATCGCTTCTGGGCAGACGTGTGCCGTTCCAGCCATCATAGGTGCTCGCTAACAGCACTTGCCCCAACAGTCTGTTAAGGCTACAGGTATTTGCCTTGCTAACTGCTCGGTGCACTGCTACATTGCGGCGGCTGGAACAGGCCTTCATCCAGCAGTAGACTGACCATGGCAGATCGTGAAGACGATGATGACGACGACCCCTCCGTTGCTACGCAACGTGTTGCTACGCGGGTTCCCATGGTAACCATACGCGCTAAGGACCGTTCAAATCGCCGATACGCTCCTGTTCCCGCCAGAATAGCAACACAATATGCATATATTTATATATTTTAAAAAACCGATTAGTTTTATGGAACCTGGACGATTTCTTCACCTTTTAACGAGGCCCGTGAGGCATCCCAGCTGCTGCTGTCCGAAGTGTACGGCGGCCCTCAGAGCAATCAGCTCACGATTCAACCGCGCCACCGTCTCGCGTAGCCTGAACACTTCGTAGCCGGCGCTGCTCGCTCGCTTGCGCTCTGCCATTGTCGTTGCAACGTTAAGAAGTGTACGAACGCAACAAGCGTGCCATCTAAGCGTCCCGTGAACACGCGGCGGGGAGTGGAGGGTGTGGGCCTGTAGATAGTTTTATGCTGGAGACGGGACGCCGACGCGCGTCGTCACGGCAACCGTCGTGAAGGCAACGGGTTGCGTGATGACGTAGTTGCGTGATGACGTGACAATTGCACGGAAACGTAACGCGCTGACGTCACACCAGCAGGTGCGCGATTACGTCATAATACATCAAAATCAGAATACTGTATTGACACTGGTAGGAACCTCCTGGTTACACCAGCCCACAGGGGATTATTGTGTCCGTCCGTCCGTCGTGCATCCAACAATGGGAGGGGTGGGGCTGGGTGGAGAGGGGAGGGTGGGGAGGGGCTGGGTGGGGAGGGTGGGGCTGGGTGGGGGGTAGGAGGGGTGGGGCTGGGTGGGGAGGGGCTGGTCACCCCGTGGTGCCCTTATAAAACTCAACGTTTAACCTACTCACGCTGGCTTGTGCCCGCCCTCACAGTCGGGCATATTTGCGGAATACACCACGCCGCCGTTGACCCTGGACATTGACCGAGTAACCCAACGTTCCTACCAGCTCCCTCCGCAGGAATGTGTTTATTTGGACTCATAGCTGTCAACCCACGCGGTTAAAACCCGTATTCTTGTACAGGGAAATTGAGTTTTCAGGTCCGTACACAACGTACAGCCGTTTCAATACGGGGAAAAATATATATGTATTGAAAATACATTTTTTTGGGTTCGCGGAAATATGTGTCGTTAAGCCCACCACCACCCGACATAGCTCATTCGTAAGGTTTGTCACGGAAACAGAACATGCCAATTCGTTGCTAGTACAGCACACCGGTGTGTTGGAGAGCGAATCCACAACATTTACAATCTATCTAAAATATACATATGTTTCTGTTTCTCCCTTGTGATGGGACCTTGTAGGGTGAACGTTGAGATGTATAAGGGCACGGGGTGACCAATAAGGTCTGAATTGGTCTAAAGGGCTGTCCATAAATGACGTCACGCACCTTAGGGAGGAGGGGTCAGACATTTGTGACGATGCGTGACGAGGGGGGGGGAGTTGAGAAATGTGACGTCACATCAAAATGCGCAACTTTAAATAAATATAGAATTGTTATAATAACACTAATTTTTAAAACAACACTCCTGCAACATCAGAGTGCAGCGCCACATTAAACACGTATTTAATGTGGCGCTATGTCTCATAGTGTAAATGCTTACCCCGAGCTCTCAATACTCTGGTGGTGCATTGTCTTTGAGTTGTGCGCCTTTTGGCGTCATCTGGTCCAACACCAATGGAGACTAGGCTCTAAGAAAAGCTGTCTCGGGTGTGGACCAATCAACTTCAAGGACAGTGCATATCATTATCATCATCAGAGTTGTTTCTTTTTGTTTGCATTTTGACTGCTTGTGTTGTGGTTATTGCAAACATGATGCCTTGTATAAAGGTGTCAGTTTTTGTACCAGTTGAAAGGGTAAAAACCTATCATTATGTCTCATTAGTAGTCTGACTTGCTTGATAGTGAACTGCCAGATGCCTACAGGCAAGTACATCATTCGCAAAAATAGGCCATTGTGTTGTCAGTGGCAGGGTCCTCGTTTGCCAAATTACCCGCAAATCACTCAATTGGAAAATAAAGGCAATAAATAGGCTCCTTACGACACAAACTCGGCACTCCAGTAAACAAACGGGACGTTGGGCAAACGTTGCATCTGTTAATTTGGGAAGGACCTTCTTTAAGAAGAGTCATGAGACTCAGAATATTAATTTATTCTGGAGGAATCCGATGAGCTATTAAGCTATTTTTTCACAGATGTCCAGTAGGGGTTGATTAGAGCGTTACAATAACAAACAATACAAAACACGATAGGAGTGCAAAGTATAGGAAAGATAAAGAAATCACTTAAAAAATTGTAGACAAATACTACTAAACTGTTTTTTTACCTTACCAGGTAAAGTCCACTGAGCTATTAACGAATTTTTCCTGGCCACAAATCATAGCTCAACGAAGTGGCTCATCATGTGGAAATGTATAGCAGCAAAATAATCTAAACGCATGTTGCTAAAAGAGTGAGGGCTTTCCTGGGTAAACATGCATAATTTAAAACAATCATCCAAAATTATTGCAAGTACAATCGACTCTAAATTATCCGCGTGCGTTTGATCGGATTTGCAGATGAACAGCGCGCCTGAGATTTTGAGATATATTACTATCTCATGGATTTCGATTTAAAGCTTTCGTGACTGCAGGGATTCATCTTCTTGGTTCTTTCGGTAAAGTCACGTAGAAGGGAAGTAATAAAATAATAAAAATAAAACATAATAAAACAATTCTCACGACGTTTCGGCCACAATGCAAGCAGCCGTCCTCAGGTGAAAACCAGGTCCGTCGAGGCGACAGAGTCTGAATGAAACAGCACACGGGCTTAGAGCATATATATAAGCTGGGCGCATTGACAAAGGAATTTGCATATCAACAGGAATTTAGCATATTTATGGAAAATGCAGGAATGTAATTAGTACTGCATATGCATGTGCATTATGCAGGATTAACAGCATCAAAGGGAGCTGCAGTTACTGCTGCTGCAGCAGTTGCTGCTGCTGCTGCAGTTTCTGCTGCTGCTGCAGTTGCTGCTGCTGCTGCACTTGCTGCTGCTGCTGCACTTGCTGCTGCTGCTGCACTTGCTGCTGCTGCTGCACTTGCTGCTGCTGCTGCACTTGCTGCTGCTGCACTTGCTGCTGCTGCTGCAGTTGCTGCCTTATCCATTTTAATATAACACTATGTATTATTCTACCCACCCTAATGTGTATCATATGTTTACTGTACAATTACGACACCATACATTACTCTGCACACTGCACCATGCCAGTGAGTGGAACGCGGTCTGAAAGTCACCGTTAACGTGAACACAATCAGTTAAGATCCGAAATGGTTTATTACGTCCTTCCAATGATTGCTAAGCCAGAATCCATCTTCTCGGTTGAAATTGTCACACTTATCTTTGAGTGTAACAATGTCCACATCGGATTGGGACCATGTGGAAAAAATGACTGCCTCTTCAGCTGCCGCTATGTCGACTAAATGTAAGGACAACTTGATTTCCAAATTCAACCGCCTCTCAAACAAGAAACCGGACCCACACATTGAAAAGCTAGATGTTAACAAAGTCGTAATTAATCGCAGTAACAGTCCTATTTCTGAAGGTTTGAAATCCGTTTTAGCTAAAGGACTAAACTTTGCAGTCACACCTAGACACATACCAGTTAATGATATAATTGCTCGAGTAGATGTAGCTCTCAAGGGCTTGAGTCACATCGCTGCAGACGTAGCAAGATCTGAAATCTCTGTAACCCTCAAAAACGCTAAGATGCCAGCTAGCAACATTAGCAAAGATGAGCGTTTTGAATTAGCTCAATTAAAAAAGAGGGATGACATTGTCATCCTCTCAGCCGACAAAGGCAATGCCACTGTCATCATGGACAAAATAGAATACAACAACAAAATTCAAGAACTACTCAACGATGGCAGCTATACAAAAATAAAAAGAGACCCCACCAACAGCCTCGTCTCCAAAACCAACAACATCATTTCTGCTTCAACCGCATTAATTGATCAGACCAAACAGTTCTCGTTGAAACCTTCTGCAGCCAGGCCACCAAGATTGTACGGCTTGCCAAAGATACATAAAGAAGATACACCTCTTCGTCCCATTGTCTCTACTATCAACTCCCCCACTTACAAACTGGCTCGTTTTTTGTCCGAAATCCTACGGCCTTTCACTGGAAAAACCACCTCTGCAGTACTAAACTCTACTGACCTGGTATCGACAATCAAGGGGATTGCCCTGTCCCCAGACGACCTGCTTGTCAGTTTTGATGTGGTTTCCTTGTTCACCAAGGTGCCTGTGCCTGACACCATCGCAATCATTGAAGACTTGGTTCATCAAGGACTGAATGCTGGGGTACCCCCCCTGGTGAGACACTGCTTAACCAATACATACTTCACCTGGAATGGAACCTTCTACAAGCAAATTGAGGGCACCCCAATGGGCTCCCCCCTATCTCCGGTTGTAGCCAACATCTTCATGGAGAAATTTGAGACGGACGCCATCCAGACTGCCACTCTACGCCCGACCTTATGGAAGAGGTACGTAGACGACACTTTTGTCATCTGGCCACATGGCCGGCCTGCTCTAGACCAATTTCTCGACCACATCAATTCCATACACCCAGCCATCAGATTCACCATGGAAGTCGAAAATGATGGCAAGCTACCCTTTTTGGATGTCCTAATCAAAAGGAGACCTGATGGTTCAATGAGCCACTCTGTCTACAGGAAAGCCACCCACACGGATGCTTATCTAAAACCGGATTCCCACCACCATCCATCCCAGAAGAATTCCCTCATCAAGACTCTATATCATAGAGCCCAATGCATCTCCGACCATGAACACATTTCCAGTGAACTCAAACACGTACGCCAAGCTCTTAAGGCTAATGGTTACTCCGACTACACAATCCGCAAAGCCATCACTCCAACCATCAAGAAGGATCCTGTTGAGGAGCCTTTCAAGACCATCACCTTACCCTACATTGCTGGGGTCACAAAAAAGATCTCCAAAATCCTGATTAAACACAAGATCCAGGTCCGATTCAACACAGTACATAAAATCCGTGATCTGGTCCCGTCTGTAAAAGATGTGGTTCCAGACATACAGTACCCTGGCGTCTACAAACTAAGTTTCCTCTGTGGTAGCAGTTACATTGGAGAAACCAAACGACATGTCTCGGACCGCATCCGTGAACATAAGGCAGACCTGAAACACGGTAGGACAAACACCTCAGCCGTGGCAGATCACTGTTACAATTCAGTGGGCTCACATGACATTGACTTCTCCAAGACAGAGGTTCTCTGCAAGCCATCTGGCTATCATGAAAGATTCGTTCATGAGGCGATCCACATATACAAACACAGAGACAATTTCAACCGAGAAGATGGATTCTGGCTTAGCAATCATTGGAAGGACGTAATAAACCATTTCGGATCTTAACTGATTGTGTTCACGTTAACGGTGACTTTCAGACCGCGTTCCACTCACTGGCATGGTGCAGTGTGCAGAGTAATGTATGGTGTCGTAATTGTACAGTAAACATATAGCAGTATGATACACATTAGGGTGGGTAGAATAATACATAGTGTTATATTAAAATGGATAAGGCAGCAACTGCAGCAGCAGCAGCAAGTGCAGCAGCAGCAGCAAGTGCAGCAGCAGCAGCAAGTGCAGCAGCAGCAGCAGCAAGTGCAGCAGCAGCAGCAAGTGCAGCAGCAGCAGAAACTGCAGCAGCAGCAGCAACTGCTGCAGCAGCAGTAACTGCAGCTCCCTTTGATGCTGTTAATCCTGCATAATGCACATGCATATGCAGTACTAATTACATTCCTGCATTTTCCATAAATATGCTAAATTCCTGTTGATATGCAAATTCCTTTGTCAATGCGCCCAGCTTATATATATGCTCTAAGCCCGTGTGCTGTTTCATTCAGACTCTGTCGCCTCGACGGACCTGGTTTTCACCTGAGGACGGCTGCTTGCGTTGTGGCCGAAACGTCGTGAGAATTGTTTTATTATGTTTTATTTTTATTATTTTATTACTTCCCTTCTACGTGACTTTACCGAAAGAACCAAGAAGATGAATCTCATAGATTGTTAACACGTAGGCTTTCGCGACCAATATCATCCATAATACAGGTTTTTTTTGGGGTTAGATCGCGTAAATATATAAATGTGTCGTTAAACCCGCCACCACCCGACACAGCCAATTGATAAGGTTTGTATTGTGGAAAATAACGACGAATAATGTGTATTATTATGAGGTTTGTAGTGGGTGGCTGGTGTTTGTGTGAACGCTGCACTACCGAAATCTTGTTGAGTGAGCGGCTGGTGTTTGTGTGAACGCTGCACTACCGAACTCTTGTTGAGTGGGCGGCTGGTGTTTGTGTGTGAATGCTGCACTACCGAACTCTTGTTGAGTGAGCGGCAGGTGTTTGTGTGAATGTTGCACAACCGAACTCTTGTTGAGTGTGCGGCTGGTGTTTGTGTGACCGCTGCACTACCGAACTCTTGTTGAGTGAGCGGCTGGTGTTTGTGTGAACGCTGCACTACCGAACTCTTGTTGAGTGAGCGGCTGGTGTTTGTGTGAACGCTGCACTACCGAACTCTTGTTGAGTGGGCGGCTGGTGTTTGTGTGAACGCTGCACTACCGAACTCCTGTTGAGTGGGCGGCTGGTGTTTGTGTGAATGTTGCACAACCGAACTCTTGTTGAGTGTGCGGCTGGTGTTTGTGTGACCGCTGCACTACCGAACTCTTGTTGAGTGAGCGGCTGGTGTTTGTGTGAACGCTGCACTACCGAACTCTTGTTGAGTGAGCGGCTGGTGTTTGTGTGAACGCTGCACTACCGAACTCTTGTTGAGTGGGCGGCTGGTGTTTGTGTGAACGCTGCACTACCGAACTCCTGTTGAGTGGGCGGCTGGTGTTTGTGTGAACGCTGCACTACCGAAATCTTGTTGAGTGGGCGGCTGGTGTTTGTGTGACCGCTGCACTACCGAAATCTTGTTGACTGAGCGGCTGGTGTTTGTGTGAACGCTGCACTACCGAACTCTTATTGAGTGGGCGGCTGGTGTTTGTGTGACTGCTGCACTACCGAACTATTGTTGAGTGGGCGGCTGGTGTTTGTGTCACCGCTGCACTACCGAACTCTTGTTGAGTGGGCGGCTGGTGTTTGTGTGAACATTGCACTACCGAACTCTTGTGGAGTGGGTGGCTGGTGTTTGTGTGACCGCTGCACTACCGAACTCTTGTTGAGTGAGCGGCTGGTGTTTGTGTGACCGCTGCACTACCGAACTCTTGTTGAGTGAGCGGCTGGTGTTTGTGTGACCGCTGCACTACCGAACTCTTGTTGAGTGAGCGGCTGGTGTTTGTGTGACTGCTGCACTACCGAACTCTTTTTCTTGTTGACGTTAACGCACCCGGAAGCGCGCGCAGATCAGCTGAGCCGGGTCTCGCCAGCCTCCTCAATCTCCCAGTCCGCATTGGCGCACGGTGGTGGGGGGCGAGGGGCGGGGCGCACGGGCCCGTCGGCTGGGGTCCAATCAGGAGGCGGCGACATCCACGGGGATACCCGCTTATGCGGTCTACGGAATCAAAAAGGAGGCCGTTCCACTCCTGACTTCAAAAATTGCTTTGCCGGTGGTTGTCGATGTCGAGACGTCGCTTCCGTTTAATTATCCTTCGCTTCAATGAGTCGATTGATCAACACGTGCGTCGATTGAACGGGGGGTGGTGGTGGGGGTGATTATTGGTGGACTATCACGCGCCGATTTGCGTTGGTAATTAACGTAGGAACTAAAAGCGAGGTTGAATGGGGTGAGTTCGCGCACTGTGTCTCTGGACTCGTACCGTAACGAGAGGCCTGTGTTTTATCGCGTTTAAAGTTGCGTCGATTGTCGAGTTTAAAGTATCTCAAGTTGGGTTTTTAAATCCTTTATTTTCGTATTAATTTGGCGTTCGCGGGGGCGCTCTACGCGATGGCTTTCGTGGCGAAAAAGCCCGGGCAGAAGGAGAGGTGAGTCGTGCCTTTAGCAATGCTGTTTTGCAATGTGCTCTGCCAATGCGTTGTAATCCAATACAGTTTTGTTTGTTAATATACCTGGAGTGGTTGCTTGTAATTATTTTAAAATTACAATTTAGCTTCAATCGGAGAACCAAAAAATAATCGCGTGAGGCCTACAGGCCTAGGCTAACGATCGCAATGTCCCCTCGTAAATTCGATTAAAGTTAACATTTAAGTAGCTCAATATTTCGTAAGATTCCGTTAAAATTATTATTTATTGTAATAATCTCCCGTAAGCCACCAAGATGAAGGATTGCAGTTATATTTTTTGATTTCGGAAAAAAGTTTTGGCTGCAGACACTTAAGCAGTTTTAAGGGCCTTCAAAACATGGGGACAATTCTAGTCGTATATTTTGATAAACTAAAGTTCATTGTCACTAGTTTATATTATTTTATTAAACGTGAGGTCATTGTCAATAGTTTGTAATTTTGCAATCATTGTGCAACATCACGATACAATTGTGGTTCATCGTCGGTTCTGTATAATGTTTGTTGCCCATTGCTAGTACTGATTTATGCGTCTTATTCATGATTCTTTCGGTAAAGTCACGTAGAAGGGAAATAATAAAGTAATGGAAATAAAACATAATAAGATAAAATTATCACTACGGTGAAGAACCCGAGGACTGCTGCTTGCGTTGTGGCCGAAACGTCGTGAGAATTTTATCTTAAGTTGTATTTTTGTTAATTTATTATTTCCCTTCTACGTGACTTTACCGAATGAACCAATAATATGAATCCCTGCAGTCACGAAAGCTTTAAATCGAAATGTATTATGCGTCTGTATGTACCCTTTTTGAGATTAATGCTTGGACCTTTTTCAGATTTGCCATTGTCGGTAATGTGAAATGTTTGTTAATATTAGGCTCGCAGCCCATTGTTAGCACTGCGCAAGCTTTCCATTTCGAAATAATGACTCGTTCAGCACAGGTTATACAATGTATCCATTTTAAGATGCGTTAATTATAACCCATTGTCAGTGTCGTGTATTGTTTCTATCCATTTTGAGCCAAAATGTGAACAAATAGGGGGGTTCAACCATCATAAATGTCCTGATTTCAGGCCATTGCTGGACAAATAATAATACAATTGTATGTAGCTGGCATTGCCTAATTGGCAGAAGTTGCCCGCTTTGGGCCATTCCTCATTTAAATATAATGTACGGAATTGCATCGATGTATTGCTGATTTGGGCCACTGTCCAACATGTTTGTTATCCGGGCTGTAAAATTTTAAATGTAGATGTTCTTCGGCTTTGTGCCAGTGCCTGGCCAAATCAACGATCGCTTCTTGTCAATATTTAATCACACGTCCGGACTTTGTCGATTCCAAAAAGTCAGCTTGCGTTATGTAAATCGCATCTTGTGTACTGCTGTGTGTTTGGTCAGCATGTTCACAAATTACACTATTGGCTGATTAAAAAAGGTGTTTATTCCTACGTCGTTGATAATGCTGCAACTGATGTTGAAGTTGAATACATTATGAATGTCAGGATTTATTAGGACTGGCGCCCTACAAACAGCAGGTGCACAACTGTGTACTGTATTGTCTAATGCTATTTAAATCGTACTTGGGAGTTGGAAAATACCAGATGCCATGGTGGAGTTTTATATTGAACGTGGAGTCCTCCATATGGTTTCAGAGACCGCCTTTGCACCAGTGATCATTGGTGACTATACTGTGGTGATGAGTCCTAATGCCAATGAGCATTTTTTCAGGAAATGCTCGTGTTATTTTTCTTATGCACAATGGCTGTTTTTTTTTTACTATTGTTTGGCTTGTTTTAAACGTACAGCTCAATTCCAGCAGTTGATTAAATGTTTGTACAAGTGCATTTACACGAGATTTTCCAGGTGAAATATTTTGAAAAAAAGTAAATCCACCAGTGGCCTCCCCATGCTATGTCGGTTTTGGAGAAGTTTTTGGCCTTACTTCACCACACTGGTAATTGAAAGTTTGTGAAGGGGTGGTTGGGGTGTATGAACGGCTCTCCACTCGTGTTAGCTGTGGAAAAGAATCGAACTGATTGCTGGATTCGTAGTGCTGCTGGCACCGTGTATGACGATACTGGATGCCGTTGCGATTTCGTATTGTATTCTACGATATATTTCCTTGGAAATCTCAGTCGTGAAATCTGCCTGATTTTACTAATTATACATTCGCCAAAAGTTGTTTTTATCTCTCTTGTAATTATCCTTTTGCAGGTTTTCCCTTTTGATGCTTGACTTGGGCGAGTTTTACTTTGAACATCATTCTGCTTTCTACACCAGTAAGGAGGATGGCAGGTACGCTGGTTTCAATTCTCCGGGTTAGGATTAACGTCAAATTGGTGCAGTTGACATTGCGTCACGAGATGAAGACATTTACTTTTCAGGAAGTCTTTCAGAGCTTTGCATCACCCTATGTAGACACCAGCCTGCAGATGTATGTATCCATGTTGAACTTCTTTCACACCATACGTAACCAGCCGTGCGAATCGGAGGTGCGATAATTTTTCACGCTGCCATATTATTGTCTTTAGGAGACTCCACCATTGGGATGTTGTTTGGCCGATTCGATTGACGAGTGTTTGGTTTGTGGGAGGAAAGCGTGGTACCGGAAGAGAACGTTGGCATGTAACAACAATTGAATTCATAATAAGGTAATGCTTCTTCTTGGTTTTTTCGGTTAAGTCACGTAGAAGGGAAGTAATAAAATAATAAATATAAAACATAATAAAAGAATAATAAAATAAAATAATTAAATAATAATTTATTACTTTATTACTTCCCTTCTACGTGACTTTACCGAAAGAACCAAGAAGATGAATCCCTGCAGTCGCGAAAGCTTTAAATCGAAATTTAAGGTAATGCTTATCACTGCTCTCTTTCGACCACCTCGCAGCCCCCCACCTACTACTACGCTGGGAAAGCCCTGGTCGCTGCACCCATCTAAGCAATAACCAGGCTCGACCTGCTTGGCTTTTTGGTATGATTAGATGGAGCACATCCAGGATTACTTACTGTATTTAGGTTCTAGATCTTCTTGATTCTTTCGGTAAAGTCGCGTAGAAGGAAAATAATAAAATAATAAAAATAAAACATAATAAAATAATTCTCACGACGTTTTGGCCACAGCGCAAGCAGCCGTCTTCAGGTGGAGAACAGGTCTTTAAATCGAAATTTAGGTTCTAGATGTTTGTCACGTGACAACTACACCTGATTTTGATTCGAAAACAATTCCTAGATCCAGGAATTGGGCCACATTTTTAAGTACTAAACTGAATCTTTCTGCGGAAGTATTATTTGCGTTGTCATTTGGCTGTCAGACTGACACCATGAACTTGCCACACCTTGAGAATCCAGTTTGACCACAGCGGGCAGAATCTCACCGGTGGTGCCAGTATCGTGGATTCCTCAGCCACCTGGCTCCGACTCAATCCTCGTTGCAAGCGAATGGAGAGCTGTCATTGTGTTTTCAAACAGTGTACTAATCTTTTGCAAGCGAAATCTAATTCTCATATAGTCAATGCAGAGGACGTTTCTGCCTGAATTTCTCATGTAATCTAACCAAAAACCCGTGGTGTTCTTTGTCATATTTACATTTTTCCAACGTTCTTTTTAAGTGTAAACACTTTTTTAGCAGGTATATAATAATTTCAACTGAATTGGCGTTATAGTTATACATTACCCACTCATTCATTAAACTTGAGTCCAAGTAAGTTCTTGGTGTAATCATTTTTGACTTTTGAAAGGGAACCGTGGTTAATACGAACGATTTGGTGTGGCTGTGTTGGACAGCGGTGCACAGGCAACATAAGTATAACCCGTAAAAACAAAGTTTTTCACTTACATCCTTTATATGCGTGGCGGCTAGAGTCCTCTCGTCCTCTGGCTTGAGATGGCTGCCACCTATGGGTCAGATGATTGTCTGCCAGTATTAAGCAATTGGTAATTAAATATTTAATTTGTTTTCCCTAAACAGTGTAAAATTTGGAAAAAAAATTCACGAACATTAATTGTCTCGCACAACGAGTCTGTGTGCAAAATGTCAGCTCGATTGGATCACGGGAAGTGGGTTAAGAAACGACCGAAAGATTTGCACGGTCCTAAGCAAGCAAGCGAACTTAATATAAAGGATTTAAAAAATAGGTGACTTTTCGGCACCGAGTTTTGTCGTTTGTATCGTACCAGTTGTGAAAGTTTGTATGAGAGGCATATGCTTGCCCTGTCGTTGGAATGCCCAAATATACACCCACAGAGTAATCTACACACACTTTAGAAACGTGCATTGAGATGATTTAGCTGCTCTAAATGTGCACATGATCAGCCATTTTGTTGAGCTTTCGTGTGTGACCAGGTCTCTTCTAAAAAAATAAGTTAATTCCTTGATGGTCTTTGCCAGGTAGGATGGGGCTGGTTTAGTTTTATTCTTATGTTTTTGGGTGATTTTGTTTGCCTTTCCTGTACTTTGCAATCCTCTGTGTATTATTTGTTAATGTTCTAACTCGCACCAACTGGGCATGTGATATTAATAGGTTTTTACCCTTTCAACTGGTACAAAAACTGACACCTTTATACAAGGGATCATGTTTGCAATAACCACAACACAAGCAGTCAAAATGCAAACAAAAAGAAACAACTCTGATGATGATAATGATATGCACTGTCCTTGAAGTTGATTGGTCCACACCCGAAACAGCTTTTCTTAGAGCCTAGTCTCCATTGGTGTTGGACCAGATGACGCCAAAAGGCGTACAACTCAAAGACAGTGCACTATCAGAGTATTGGGAGCTCGGGGTAAGCATTTACACTACGAGACCTCCTTTACCAGTGGCAAAATATAGTAATAGGTGTTTACCCTTTCAACTGCTTGTGTTGTGGTTATTGCAAACATGATGCCTTGTATAAAGGTGTCAGTTTTTGTACCAGTTGAAAGGGTAAAAACCTATTACTATATTTTGCCACTGGTAAAGGAGGTCTCATAGTGGACATGTGATTTTGTATAGCTCATTGGATTCTCCCATTATAAATAGATATGATACACACAATTTGATTAGCCTGCCCAAGGCACTTCGCTCGAGCCAATTACCGTGCATGTTCCCTTGCACTTAAGGATTTGTAGCCCCAGGTCTTTTAAGCATGTGACAACACGTCCATTCAATTATCATTATCGTTGCTTTCACCCGTATATGCAACGAATTTGGTGTTTGAATTTTTAAAAATGTATGATTTATGCAAATTGTATGCCAAATAATTGGTAATGATTTGAAATGTATGTCACAGCAGGTAATATGTGAAGTACTTGAATGTTGCCTTTCATTTATTATTGAGTTCAGTTTTCCAAAAGCACTCCAACTTGCTCTTGTCCACCGCTTGATTTCATTATATTGATCCCGGTATGCCTTCAATAACTGCCTTTTTTTTAGATGAACCGATCAAATGTGCTCATGTGCAGGACTGACAGCGGGTCGTCGTAACGCGAGCCGTGAGAGATGGTGACGGTTTGGGGCGGGGGGGGAGGCCTTTATCCATCATTCGATAGATAGTAGCCGAGGATGATTTTATGACGTTACATTTTACTTCAAGAGTTTGGGGGAAAAAAAAGCTGAAAAAACTGAGAAAAATATAGTCACATTATCAACGGGATGCTAAATAAGTCAACGAAATGAATAGATTTTTTCAATCCATGAAACATCATAATTGCTGGTGGGTAGATTTACACACTTGGTATTAATCGTTTCGCATAAACACGCCATTCCACTACAACCAATAAACAGATCCTTTTGAAAGTGGTGTTTTAATAATTCACAGGCTGTGTATCTGGTTAATTGCTGTGTGTGGAGCCCAAATAGGTCTCAAGTTGCCATTTTCTTGCAATAACTAATTAAGATTTGTTTGTGTTTGCAACATTTTTCCCCCCAGAAAAGTGAAAGGTTCATTTAAGATTTGCTCCAAGTCCTTGGTGTTTGAGCCAGAGAGCATTAAAGAGCCCATAGTTAAGGTAAGCATCAAGTTTTAATTAACTCGTAATAATTTTACTTTATTTGCGACCAATTATGTAACATTGTGGTTTTGGTATAGTAATAGCAGAGTAGTATGTGACATTGTGCTAATGTAATTGTTTGTTTTCAGTTTTCCATAAAGGACTGCACCAAGATTGAAGAAATTGGCTTTGTAAATACCTTGAACCCATTTGATGAGTGAGTTGCGTTGTGCTATCTATCAATATATGATTTTGAAAATACATTCAGTTTCCTGTTCTCGATGCCAAGTGTACTTTCCTTACCAAAGTCTGTGATTTGCAATGCAATTCCTTTTATTCATGCCAAGGTGGGTGGGTGCTTGCTATGTCCTGTGGGTCCTATTTACCCGTATTTTTTTCTATCCCAATAACTCGTTGGCTGCAAGAAGTGCGTAAAATACGTCCATATGGGCAACACTTTTGTCAATCCGCTGCTGGATGTGGGCCGAGCCATGCCAGTGCGGTTTAAGGCTTATTTGACCATACTTTACCACGCCGGTCAGCGCAGGTAAATGAAGGCACGGGGCATAGTTGTGGACGCATACGAGTACAGTACAACATGGCTTTTGCTGGGCCCTACCCACCTTCACCACCTTGCACGTGTCAGTGTGGTGCAAAATAGTTACCCAATCCCCTATGACTAGCATGGAGGAGGTCTTCCTCCAGCAGTGGATTGTTAAAGGGCTGTAAGTTATTTGTTATTTTTACTACCTTGGGTATATCTAATTGGTTAATGTAAACTCTGCAGCCACCTAGCTTCTACACATGTCACATTGCTAAAGGAAATAATCGATTTCTTGAATCAGATTATTTATCCTTGAGGAATCTGAGCTATGAAGCTTTTTACAGATGTCCAGAAGGGGCATGGGGTCAGCGAGTTGCAACAACAAAAGATACACGGCACACGATAGGAGTGCAAAGTAAAGGGAAATCTAAGCAAGTCACAAAATATTAAAAAATAAAGTAAATCTATTGTATCAAGGCAACGATACAATCTAATATTGACGCTTCACGATTTCTACCAGTCGTGTTCATTGTTACCTATTTGCGGTGAAACGTTAATTAAACTCGTAGAGGCAGCTTTTGTTTTTGGCACCACACCATTTTAATGTACGATTTGCAAGACTTGATACTTTAGGACTTGCATTCCAAAGATTGCCAGTTTGATTAGACTTCCTGGCTTTGCCGTTGATACAATGGGGCAAGTTTCTTAAATCTCCCTTCCCCACTGCCTCCATCCACTCGGCAGAAAAAGTGAGGTCCACTACAAATAGTCCATCAGTAGGTCTTGTGTTGGTTGGAGTAAATTATGGGTTCAGATCGCCCCCCCCCATCCCCCAAGTTGTCTGGCCAGTATGGAAGAGTAGGCCAAATCACTCGAAAGGTTTTCAAGAGCTGGTCTAGTTGCTTCCACTCAGATGGAGGCTGAGCAAGCAGTTGCAGCGCTGCACGTGTACCCTTTTACGACCAGGGATATTAATGTGATAGGATCTATCCTAGCACCCTAGGCATGTGACTCTTGGGGAATTGATTTGAACGCTTATGGCTCGTATGGACGTTGTCATTTCCTACTGCATACAGCTGTGGGCTTTGTTCGTGTAATCGGTGATGCTTTTTTGTCGGTTATTGTGCCAACATATTTATATATATATATATATTTTAAGCAAACATGGTGATTGCACTGTTGTGAACAGTGTAAATCTTAATCGTCTTAAAGCGTTTTTTGTTTCCCCTACATTTCAGACCGAAAGGATCTGGCTGTGGATTGGTTTGTAAGCAGGTAATGATGTTTTTACTTCTCGTTTCATCACTTATGTGGTTACTTGCCTATGAAGTAGTTGCTATCACGTTCAGATGATGATAAAAAACCTCCATTTAACATTTCACGGGGAAGTGATGGTGCACAGGTTTGCGCACCACTGCTTTAGACCCAGTGACCCGAGGCTGATCCCTGGCCACGGCTAGCATCGATGGTGTTTTATGTCTGAACCATCCATGCGCTATCCATTCACCAAACCTGCCCCCGAGCAGCAGCATGATGATGAAGTGCGGTCAAACAATCCCCACGACCACCACGGCAATGCCAGGCTTTCGTCCAGCCGTGGAATGACACGTGCCTCGGAATCGTAATACGTCGAAAAATTAATGTTAAATTTGCGAGCACGATCACATACGTGTTGCATACGGCGACATGTGTAACTGCACGAGCTTTTCGGTTTCCAAAAATCCTAAATCCACCCCAATGGTCACACATCATCCTCATGTACGCAACAAATTATTTGATACTGCTGCGTTTGCAGTGGTGCACGAAAAGCAAAACTATCCAGCGCATTTGTCAACACTGCCTTGTGCAAGGAGAGGATGCAATGCGCAGTGGCTCTTCAGAGCACATGGAGAAGCCAGAGTGAGTTTTTTTATCTCTTGAGCGGGAGCTCTTTATGGTTGTAATTTTTTTTTTTCCCCATGCTCTCAGGTCTTGGAAATCAAGAAAGGAAATGAAATTGCACCATACATATCAAGCCGTGTGAGTAAGGGGGAATTTATTCTATTTCCTGCATTTGACAGTGCACACTTTCACTTCCAGACATGCCGAGTGTCGGAGCACTATACAGGCAATTCTGAGAACCCCTGTATTTGAATCTGGGCTACCAACTACGATTGAACCGAGTTTTAAAGTGTCGATGGTCTTGGCTTGGTCACCAATAAACACACAAATCATAATGTGTTTTTTTTTGCATAAATGTGCTCCATTTAATGCTGGTGATTTTAGATAAGTTTTTGCCCCTTGTATGGATAAATAAGCTACTGAAGCTTTCTGCTAATTGTGAGAGTTCGAAATTAATTCGACTCGTAACAGTGGTGTGATTGGAATTAAATAATTACGTGTGTGAATATATTCATGTTGCATGTGGATTATGATGGCTATTCAATTTCCTTCTTAACCGGTGGGTCTTTCGGTGCTGGTAAGGGGCTTCAAATTAAATTTAATTACTAAATATAACACGTGTTGCTCACGGTTTGGGGCTTTCTCTCCTGATAACCATGCCACCAAAAATTGCATTGAGCCTCCTTCTGTTGTTCTCTACACCTGTAAAATTGAACAACTTCCCAGTGTTGGTGGCTAACCCCAACAATTTGCCATGTGTGGGTTTATTGTGGGGCGTTCATGTGGGATGTGCTTTAATCGGGTGTCAAAATATAACCTCCGACTGTTGAACATTGAACCAGACCTTTCACTTATTTTGGTCGGTACAAGGTTGGTGAATCATCACCCTTGTATAGTAACAGTCGCACGGTTGGGTAAAGGAACTCCAAATTTAGCAAAACACTGCCTAAAAATATCAATAGCGCTATAGTTAGTCAGATTTGGAGACTGCACTTGACACCATGGGTTCTCCATATGAGAATTGCATAAGTTTTCTCATGAACCGTTTTTAAATTGGCATGAATAGTTATGCTAATCAAAGGAGTTACCAAATGGACTAATTTATATTACAAACAACATTATAAAATGTTGATCGCACATTACAACGTTGAAAAGACAACTTGTTGAAGACCACACACGTCTTCAATAAGTTGTCTCTGCCAATAATTTTATTACGTTCATGTCTTTAACAGTGCAGGGCATAACCAAAATGTAGTGGATGCATTATTTTTGGGTGGCCGGTAGATAATAAAAACAACTGCTGGAGAATCGGATAACGTTGAATGGCAGATAGTTCTGCCACGTGTTTTTTCGGGTCGTACTGAAAACGCACGGCACGATGTCCCACCGTTTTTTTTCCCACAGTGGTGGGAACTTCAGGAACCGTATTTAAGGTTGGTACCTGAATAAGCCCTCGGCACATCGAAGAAGTAGTCTGAATTTCTGCCGACAAGTTGCGTGGCACCACAATACCTTGCCGATCTCGTCAAGGAGCATAAACCATCGCGCAAACTCCGGTCATCCTCGTGGCTTCTTGCGAAACATCGAACAAAGACGGTCGCAGCATCGTGCGCTTTCAGATTGTGCTTCTGCGGCCGTCTGCAACGTTCTTCCGATATTCGGAAGCAACTGTGGATCTATGCACTTTTAAATCCTCTAGATTGAAAACTAACTTATTTTAGAACTGCCTTATTGTGTTTGTCCTTGCCTCGCACCTCCGATTAGCACAATTGGCTATGTACGGTGCACAACAAGTTCATAGATACGTATGCAATCCAACCGCGCATAGGAGCGTTAAATATCGCAATGGAAAGAACCTACGCAGTGTGGCGCTGTATGGTGTGTTTTATGTGTAATAGGTTGAGGAAATATGGTTATGGTTCCTGAGATTGAATGACACAGAAATTCGTGTTCTGAGCATGATTGATCAATTTAGGCACTGGGAATAAGAGTTGGGGAAAGTGGATATGACACGTGTAATTTGATATCCTGTGAAGAGTTTATGTAGAAAAGCCATGCTATTTGGAAACGCTCATTTGCATATAAGAAAAAATGTAATAGTGACACGGTTCTTTTAAAATTGTCTTTCTAATATATAGGTTATTAATTTTTTCCTGAACTTTACATGGGTCCTTGATAATATTTTAGGGCAAGGTCACCTCCTATATAACCATTTAATTCAGATTCATTACTGTTCAATAAAAAAGTGTCACGGTAGCAATAATCAGAAATAGCACCCGGATACAATTGTAGCCGTCTACATTAAATTCTAAGAGATTGATTTTGTATGAGTGTCTGTCGGACACAACACTTGAGTCATATCCATCCAACATCGTGGAGAAAGGCTTTTGTTGATGTGCCATGTACAATATATAACCTTTAACCTTGTTAAATAAAAAAACGAGCAGAACATGTTTCTGCTAATCTTCTTAATAGGTTTTGTGAACCCTTAAACTCTTCCCATCACACTTAGTCTGCTGGGTTGACAGTTGCAACCTTGTTTTGCCAAATGAATAAAGATGTGGGAAACGTAAAGTTTCCCTGGCGTTTTCTATTACCCACATTATCTTGACCCAATTTTTTTAAACCTGAGAGCTTGATTTGCATTTGGGGGATACACAGTATCCGAAAAACCTACTGATGAGATTTATTGTAGGATGGTGATACAAACAAAAACACTTAAGGATTTACGGTTGCCTTATTCTTAAGATTTTTAACACTCTGGAAAGTAAGACGCACCCAAACTTGTGACCTGGTGTTATAAAAAAAAATTCTGTTCTCGCACACGTATACCTACTGGGATTAGAATGCACACTCCAACTTTTACTTTTAAATACCTTGGGGGTGGAGGGGGAAGGGTGTCTGTGTGAACTTCTTTCGCACTGCATTTAGCCTACCATGCTAATCGGAGTTGTGGGGGAAGGACAAATAAAAGAGTGCGTCCTTATGATCCAGAGAATATGGTACGATTTTTCTGGGTTGTAAAACGATAAAGTGCAATATTTTTGTTTTATTCTTGCTCTCACTCTCATAGGGAAGCCAAGAGTATGAGTTTTATTTTGAACATGGAGACCCCGAGGATATATTGCACACCATCCATCAGGTGAGCCACCCACTGTCGGGACCTTTATCTGAAACAAGTCATCCTTACCATAAGCATCTGTTTTTAATTAATTATCCGTCGGTTAAACTTTGAGCCCTACTCTACGATGGCAGTAACTCCAGCGAATTGGGGAAGAGAGGCTTGGAACGCAAGTATTGGCATACTGCCCAAAAGGACTTTTTATTTTAATTGCTCAAGGGCCATGATTTTCTTTTTGGTTGCAAACGCACAATTGGGACCCTCTCTGAAAAAGAGTCGCGTCTCGGTGACGATTGCCTGGATATTTAAGCGGAATGCGAGCATAGTACAGGTAGTCTTCTACTTACGATGGAGATGTGTTACGACGACCCCATCGTAAGTCTAAAATATCGTAAGTCGAAGATGGCCTCGCCTACCCAGGAGAAAAAAATACACGCGCTAACACCGAGACAACTTGACTCCGTCAACCGCTGGTGAGAGTGAGACATCACACAAGGCGGGAGATGCGTACATCCCAGCAGCGTCCCAACGTACAGTATCGTACCTCGTACACTGCTGCGTTTGCCTGCCGCACGAAATTTAAAATATTTAAAAATTTTGTCGTATCGCCATCGTAAGATCGAAATATCGGAAGTCGGACCATCGTAACTCGGACTCTGTACTACAATTATCTTCGTCAGCCATTATGTACAGCTTGGTGAAGGTCTCCCTCCGTTGTTAGCTTCACTCGTAGTCATGCGATGCTGTAATTCAGTAGTCTTATAACAAGGTGACGTTGACTCTAAACCAGCAAACATGGTCCAAAGAAAATTAATGTTTATTAGTTCCAAACGTGCTGTAGAATACATGAGATTCATGAGGTAATAAACCAACATTATTATCACACTTGCGTTGGCTTGTTATGTCGAGGAATGAACATGCACTTATTAAGTTATTCATCTTTTAGAAGAAAACCAATTATCCAATTGTTTGCCAAAACCAACTCCATCAGATTTTGCTTCATGTCCTAAAACTGTGACATTCATGTTTGAACACTTTTTTTCGTGGAGTAAATTTTTCATACGCAATTGTGCGTAAACACTTGCATGCTGTCTTGTGCGTTTTTACGATACGTTTTAAATATGTTGTGCTTCCCCCTCACCTCCGATGAGCATGGTTGGTTACATACGGTGCGAAAGAAGTTCAACTACATGCATACAAATTCTTTTTAGTTTTGAAGCTTTCGTGACTGCAATGATTCATACTCTTAGTTCTTTCGGTAAAATAAAATTAATAAAATAATAAAATTACTTTATTTTTATTAATTTTAATTTCATTTTTTACCTACGTGACTTTACCGAAAGACCTAAGAGTGTGTATACAAATGTATCGCGTAGAGTTTACGATTTTGTGCTGTGGTTCTCTGATGTGCTTTCGTGGTTGTACCGTGTGTTACTGGGTATGATGCCTGCGCTGGGAGCTTCTTCTTTGTGAGCTAAAAAAAATTGCGTAGCTTTGACTGAAGCTGTCCAGGGGAACTTAATTTTTTATTCTGTTTCTGAATAGTCTCCCAGCGCGTGCGGCGTTGGAAACTGTTCTTGCATGTCGCTGGACAACATGCCGCGGCACGATCCGAAAAACCGCGATCGGAGAACCGTGTTTGAACATCTCTTAGTCTCTCGTGGAATGTTTTTCATTTGGTAGGGGGGATGGTTGGGGGGGTAACATTTAAATTTAACGTTAGGAGTTTTGTTTCCTTGCTCGCAGCTGCACAGAGCATCACAGTTGGAAAAGCTTGGAGATCAAGCCGCAATGGTAACTTCCCTTTCCAATAATACAACTTTCGTGCACACACATGTTGCACGCTTCCTGTAACAAATGACTACATTTGCATTCTCACATTTGTATCCCTGACTCAATTTAGATCGACTAGTTTTTGTTCTTGCAGTCAATTGGAGTTCCACGATTTTAGTCTGACATTCCAGATACTTTTTTGTAAAGCTGTGATTTTAATAATTTAGCATTGTCGTGTAGTGGCTATTTATTTCGAACCAATTAGAACTTTTGGTTTGTGAGAACATCCCACGACACCATGGCGCCATGCGTACTGTGATGGAAGTACTTTGTATCCATGTTGGGATGGTGACGGTGCAATCCACTTGGTGAATGTGTCTAACCATTCACCTATTTCATAAAACAAACCCTATTTGCTAACACTTGATAATTAACTTCAAAAATGTCACCCCAAGTTTTAAATTATTAGTACGATAATGAGATTTTGACCGAAGCTGCCCAATTTGTGGAACTGCCCTTGTATAAACAATTAAATGTCTGTGATCGGATTGATCGTAACTATTCTATATCTTAAGTCTATAAAAGATTCCCGATCTTTTTTTTTACTATAATTATTTGCCACGTTTATCTTGTCTTGATTCTGTTCATACCTTTGCCATTCCTTTTTCGTTTGTTTCGTGGTTTTTGTCAAATCTACAAATCTCGTTTGTATTGTCTCGTTTATGCTGTCAGTGTCTTTTTCGTACCGTCGTCTCGCTAATGTGTGTTTTTTATAATGTCTGGTTTGTTCTGATGGTTGCATTTGTACTGCCATGTTCAGGCTTTTTGTTATGAGCCATATGAACATCATGGAAATATCGTAATATATTCACGATTTTAGAAATGACATGCATTCAGTGCATGTCCTGTGAGTAAAATAATCAATTCGATCGGTAATTCTGCATTGTTTACATGCCTGCAATAGTCCAGCATTTTGGAAACACAATTGGTCGTTGTATATTTAAACTGGATTTTACTCTTTGAAGACCATAATCTGTTGCCTGCCTTTATTCAGATCACGGCTATATTGCAATCAAGACTTGCCAGGGCTTCGTTCAACAAAACGAGGTGATTTTTTTTTTTCTTATTTGAATAAGTATTCTCTTTTAAACTCCTAGGTGTTTCTTTATTAGCTCGTGCTTGTTTTGAATTGAGCCATGCACTACCGCTAGTTCCCCATGTTTTGGGGGCCACATGCCCAGTGTCCGCCATCAGAAAACTCGGACCAATTTGAATAAAATTGTAAAAAAATATTTTATAATTTAAGCGTTTCATCTTTTCACCACAACTAATATATCCCTTCCCCTATCTCAGCATCACTAACTAACACGCGTGTTTTGTGTGCGTCTTGGCCGTTGTATGGGGATGGTGGTGTAGCATTTAGCGCACTTGCAGCTAACAATGACAATTATCTGAACTGGACCTACCTACTTCCCTAGGTCGACTCGGCCTGAAATGAGTACCTGGTGTGATGTTTAAACATCGCCACTAGGGAGACGAAGACAGCCAGGCATGGTGCTGGCCACCCACGACCTCGTGTACCGTGCCGGCCTTCATAGGTGCTCGCTAACAGCACTTTCCCCAAGAGTCTTAAGGCTATACAGGGGATCTTTGTCTTATCTTGGCGGTTGCCCTTTTTGTTCTGTGCTCTGGAGGCTTGACTTTGCGGACGAGACGGCGTGCGTGGAGAGGGCGGCTGAGATGGTGACGGCGCTGGTCACAAACCCCGGGCACGTGTGTGTGACGGAGTACCACCTCTTCTTTCAGCCGCTCAACTCCTTCCCGGTGAGACCCGCGGGTTCGCTCTCACTGGCTGCCTCGTAATGATACGGCTGCGTAGGTTTACTCGGTTATGCTGCCAGAGTCTTGGTTAAGAAGCTGCCAACTTTGCCAAGACCCCCTTTTTTTCACGTGAGATCTTTGACGTTGCTTTGTATTAAATCGCACAACTCTCGCTGGTGTGCCTTTATACCCGCAGGACCCTGTCTTGAAGATTAAACTCAAGGAAATACGGAGAATCTTCAAGCGGCGACACGGGTTGAGGCCTGTGGTAAGCACAGATTTTTCTACTGCTGAGAAAACAACTTATAGAGATTAGCTCCTTTTTTTTTTCTTTAAGATCGTAAACCTTCGCTGCTTATTGTGCATTCAGCCAACAGCGCTGGCTGCCAACAATGTTATTGTTGCAGTGAAAGTGGAACGGCGTGAACTTTTTTTAAAGGTTACTTTTGAAAATTGAGACGTGTCGGCACCTTGGGTAAAACAAGCCATGGAGGTAATTGGACTCGTTTCGATCAATAGGCTGCTACCCTGCAGACTTCGTCCAACAGCAGACGAAGCCGGGTGAGGTCTGATTGGCAGGAAAAATAATGGTGTCCTTCGCTTATTTCCCCCGCTTAGGATATTTGAATGTTTTGTTTGCATGAGCCCACCAGGCAAAGGCGCACAATTTGTCCTTGAGGTTGTTCCGTTCAGCTGGTGAATTCGTTTTAACTTTGAGATTTGCTCACGAGTTCAACCTTGATCTTGCTTTATGGTAATATCACCGTGCAGCAGAGGTCGCAAACGGGTTTTGATTCCTTACCCGTACCCGGCCGCACCAGGGTCTCAAACGGGTACCCTACCATACCCGATACCCGGCCGGGTATCGGGTAGGGTACGGGTACCCGATTGCGACCTCTGGGATGAAGCCATGTTGCAGGCGCGGGTGGGTTGATTCTAGGAATGTGAATTTTGAGAAGAGACAAGACGTTGGGAAATGAGTGACAGTTACTCACCAGTGACTCACGGTCTACCCGTACCCGGCCGCACCAGGGTCGCAAACGGGTACCTGGGCCGGGTACGGGTAGCCGGGTATCGGGTAGGGTACGGGTATCGGGTACCCGGTTGCGACCTCTGCCGTGCAGTGTTAAAGATGAGAAAAATGGAGAGGATGGGCTTGAGGATCCGAGTGAGCTGGCACCATTGATATGCTGGGTTTCAAATCCAGGCTTCAACTGCCTGTTTATTAAACCATTTGGTGAGTTGATGGTTTTGGCTCCAATGATTGGCCACATAAAAAAAACCCATCACATACCAGCTTTTGAGAATGTTAAGGTTTTTTATTTCCCTGTCACGTGGCAGTGGGTTGACAAAGTGCCGTACGTGTACAATATTTAACTGCTTACCGAATCGTAATAGTGCATGCATTGTGTTTTTTTTTTTTTAGTTGCGGCTTGACTCAAATTTTGCGCCGTCTCAGATGAGTGGCTCAAAAAGCCATGCTCAACTTGCGTCGGCTCTGAGCATTGCCAGCCGTGTTCAGGATTTCCACGAGTCTCGTCCGAGCCGCTTTTGTATCTTTGCAAGCCACTGACTTGAGCCTGCGCTGAACCGCTTGAGGCCAGGCCAAGCTAGAGCTGAGACTAAGAAATGCAGCCCTTATTGCCCAGCAGATATCACATGTGCCTAATAGACATTCGGAGTTCTTCTTGGTTCTTTCGGTAAAGTCACGTAGAAGGGAAATAATAAAATAATAAAAATAAAACATAATAAAATAATTATCTCTGAATTATTTTATTATGTTTTATTTTGATTACTTTATTATTTCCCTTCTACGTGACTTTACCGAAAGAACCAAGAAGATGAATCCCTGCAGTCACGAAAGCTTTAAATCGAAAAAGACATTCGGAGTTATCGATTGAATGTGCTTTCGTCAATGACATTGTGTAACTTTCGTTGTCTGAAGCCTATGCCTTCCTATTCTCTCATTGGGCCCGCAGGGACTCGAGGTGTTTTGCACCGAGAAGGATTTTTGCTCCGACATCTACTTAAAGTTCTACCACAGCAAAGACCGGGATGAAGTCTACTTTTACATCGCTTCCCAGCTTGGTAAGTTGTTGAACGGTGAGCACATTTTAGATGTAGTTAATTGCACCATCAACCAGGCCTCTTTACTGACCTACACTGACCACCCCACAGGCAGGTATGGCCAAACCCCCCCCCCCCCATGAGTGACAGTGTGGGGGAAATCTACATTCAGCAGTGGATTGATAAAGAACTGTAACTTATACAGGAAGGAACAACAGTTCCACACTGCCCACCAGGGATTGTCTGTCTGTCTTTCGTGCATAGCCACGCCCTCGATTTGTATTTCATAGAGCGCTCTACACCATGTGACGCGCCACCCCACGCAGCTTGCGCCGCGTGACACTGATCGCACGAATGCGCTGTCCAACCAAGTTCCTACCTGCCCACTCCGAAGGAACGTGTGTACCCTTTCCGATGACGTACGTGTACATCAAACTTTATCGGTACCGAGGCTCCCACAAGGCCGTGCGGAAGGCGTGTGGTACAGTTTAGCGCCAGCTATCATAGAGTGGTGGTCATGTCGCTACGCCTCTAAATAAAATATAACGCCGAGCTGCTTGAGCGTTCCGAGATTCAGAGGTGAAATGGGACCCCACCCTGCAACTTGCAGACGTTTTGGGACTGGAAAGGTTTAAGTGGCAACCTAGGGGACTAAATACTGTGTGAATGCGATCCGGGACTGCTGACATGCTGAGTTTAAATCCCGGTTTCACTTGGCCTAAGTTTTTTTTTTCATCTTGGACAATTTAGATTGTATTTATGGCCATGCTTTATAATTCACACACCTGGTATGGTACGAATGGAAAGATAAGGAAGGCAATACTCATTCCAAATCGTGGGCAGCCGGGCATGATCTGAGCGATCAGCTCCCACTCAAAATAATCAAGAGTTTAAATCCAGGTCGAGGTTGGTCAACTCGATAACATTTTCTCGCCGCCTATATATAGTGTCGCATTAACTCAAGTTAAATTTTTTAATGGGTAGAATTTACACTGCAGGCTCAGGTGTAAATGGCAGATGATCACGGCTCGACGCATGTTGAAGCGGAAACCACTTTATTTGTTAGTTTGTATTCTGAATTATTGGAATAAACTTAATAAAATCTCGAAATTAGTCAAGCCACAACTTCCCTGTCCCGTGCCAACTACTGCCAAATATTGCTTCCAGTTCCACTTGGATGAATTAGAATGTAAAGCGTTTCCCCAACTAAACAATTTTCGAGTTATAGTTTTATAACTTGCAGTATAAAGGTTGGCTGGAATATGTTTATTGTCACGTTGCTTCCTCTTTGCACACAGCCTTTGCACGGCTCGATGGTTCAAGTGTCATCTCTACGCTTGTTGATGTGGTGGTGGCCTTCACCGGTTGCCTGCACATGGGCGCGTAATATTGATATATTGCATCGCGTGAAGTCTGCCTTGGCACTTATGGGTCTGCTGCAGAATCGTGTTCTTAGTTTGTAGGTGCAACAAAGTGTTTTAATTTCAGTAGTAATAGGTTTTTACCCTTTCAACTGGTACAAAAACTGACACCTTTATACAAGGCATCATGTTTGCAATAACCACAACACAAGCAGTCAAAATGCAAACAAAAATAAACAACTGATGATGATAATGATACCAGTTGAAAGAGTAAAAACCTATTACCATATTTTGCCACTGGTAAATGAGGTCTCGTAGTGTAAATGCTTACCCCGAGCTCTCAATACTCTGATAGTGCGCTGTCTTTGAGTTGTACTCCTTTTGGCGTCATTTGGTCCAACACTAATGGAGACTAGGCTCTAAGAAAACCTGTCTCGGGTGTGGACCAATCGACTTAAAGGGCAGTGCATATCATTATCATCATCATCAGCGTTGTTTCTTTTTGTTTGCATTTTGACTGCTTGTGTTGTGGTTATTGCAAACATGATGCCTTGTATGAAGGTGTCAGTTTTTGTACCAGTTGAAAGGGTTAAAACCTATTACTATATTTTGCCACTGGTAAAAGGTCTCCTAGTGTTTTAATAATTTCACCACGATTCAGGAATTTGCCTGCTTAAAGTTTTGGAATTTATTCCAGAAGCTAAGCGCGAGAGAGTTATTTTATTAATAATACATAAGCCTAGACCAGCATTTGTTTTTGTTGCCAGTGGCAAGTGCTGCGTGTAGTTGGCCATGAAAATCATTTCCACGTGATTTTGTTGGAATGGTTTGGGTTTGTGCTGTATTTTATGCCATTTTTAACCACTTTTTTATAATGAAGTGTTTCAATTGTGGATCCACTTGTGTCAAGAATGAAGCAATGTGGTGACTTGTAGCTGTGGAAGCGCCATAATATTTTATAGTGAACTGCGATGACCAATGCACACAGTGGGTGGTGACCTCGGTAAAATTACTAAGCTCTGGTCTCTCTTCTTCTGATGCCAAGAAGTTGGTCAGCAGTTTTTTTATATAATCTAGAGTGGATTATTGCAAGGCTCTTATGGAATATTTCCAATGGTCTTGTGGCAAAAATTTTTATAAAATGCTGCTGCTCTAATTCTCTATCTAAATCTGTAAATAAATTGGGACGCGTGCTCGCATTCCTCCCAGTTATGGGTGCCATTGGTACCTTTCGTATGAATTAATAGCAGCAGATTTCAAGATCTAATTTTCGATTTGTTATCCTCAATTGTCTGTTAAGATCCAGAGTGGATCTCGTCCCTTCCTCCTCTTAAAGGAGTGAAGGCAGCAGCAGCAGCAGCGGCGTATTTACGATGCGGCGGTCGATGCTTTGGGATTCTTCGCCGCACTCGCAGGCTGCAGAATCTTCGATGTGCCATTTGTGCATCGGGCGGCCGCATCGGCCGTCTCTCTTCCTGATTCGGTTGATGGTTGACCATTGGCGCGCGTGGAAGGTGTTGAAACCGGGAGGTTCGATCGGTAAGGTCTCTGTACGAGATGTTTATTTTTTTACGTCGGTCGCAGTCGAGACTTTTCAATCTTTCGCCTTCATTTTTGTAATTGTGGCGTGGAGTGAGGCTGCTGTGATCCAGAAAGGGTGGTGTGATTTTAGACGAACTGGGTTTATAGCCCGACTGGTATTGATACCGATTTCAACGTTGCACTTTCAGCTTGTACACATACAGCTGTTTTGTTAATCCGCTGCTGGATGATCGCGTCCTCATGCGGTGTGGTTTGTGCGGTTTTTTTATTTAACTGTTACTGTGCTGATGAGTGAGGTTTGGGAGAATATTATGTAGAGTGTACTGCTTGCAGCTTCTCAGTTATGGGTTGAGAAACAAGCCCTGGATTTTCTGACGGGGTTTTGGCCCCCATTTGTGAGCGACACCTTGCTGCCAGAATCCTTAGCTTTTACTGGACATCCGTGAAAAATACTTTTTTTATTCCTCCCATTGGCTTCCTCCAGTATAAATATTCTGAGTGTGAATGCGTTTTGGCCTGGATTTTTCTCTGGGAAGCTCATAACCCTCCCACATTCAATTTATATTACCCCCAGGTTATGAATAAATGAGGGATATGTTTGAATAACTATAGGTAAAATGGGTACGAGGGAAACGTTAATTGAAATATTTTTTTGCCACACTGCGCTCTGCTGATAATACGTCTGCGCATAGGTCTGATGCCTCCCTTTATTTTTTTCCATATTCTAGTCGCCCTTTCAAGCACTATCCAGGCTCGAGTCCAGCTTGGCTTCTGCGACATGACGAGAATGAAATGATTTGGAATGGGTGCCGTGGTCGCGATGTTAACTACCTCGCCTGGTATGCAGGAGGTCGTGGGTTTGATCCCAACCCTGAAGCCTGCTGTATATTTGGAGTTTGCATGTTTGCCCCATGGTCACGTGGATTTTTTTTTCTCCCGGGTTCTCCGTTTTCCCTTAATGTTTAAAATGAATAATCGTTTAGAATATTTGTCTGCTATACATTTCAACGCGATGATAAATAAACTTCGTTGAGCTATCATTTGTGGCCAGGTCGCTTCTGAAAAAGAGCTATGTATCTCAATGGGCCTTCCCGACTAAAATACAAATAGTTCAGTTTTATTTGCTGGTGTTTTAGTGATTTAGGTCACACAGCCCCCACTTTAGCTCCTATTTCCCATTTTTGTTTTCAGTGGTGGCTGGGCTGAGACCATCAACTCCTCTTGAGAACCCCATTTAAATCTCGGTCAGAAGCCTGGTGTCGAACGCAGGCACTGAGCAGTGCCGGTAGCGTGACGCTTTGACCTCACTCACCCGGCAACCTCCTCGCAATGGCGCTGTCGTTTTTGAGTACGTCTTTCCCCCCCCCCTTTTTTCTTTTCAGACAACCACATAGTGGAGCACACCGCAGAGAGCTTCATGATGCAGTGGCAGAGAGGCCTCATCTCCAACTACGACTACCTGCTGCACCTCAACAACCTTGCCGACCGCAGCTGCAACGACCTGTCCCAATACCCCGTCTTCCCATGGGTCCTCAACGACTATAGCAGCCAGGAACTGGGTAAGGCCGTCGATGTCGCTCGCCGTTCGAAGGGCGATTTGATTTTTTTTTTTCTTTTTTCCCCTACCCATCGGTGTGGGGAATGTGTGATGCCTTTGCCGTTCCATGCATCGTCACGAATTCGGGGTAAAAATTATATTATAGATTAATTGTAATTAATGATAGTGCAAGTCATCTTTCGTATGGCTGATGTACATGCAAATAAATGGATTTGCTCTTCAACACACCGGTGTGCTGTACTAGTAACGAAATGGCACGTTCTGTTTACATGACAAACTTTACTAGTTGGATGTGTCGGGTGGTGGCCAGCTTTAACGACACCTTTTTATTTTCACGCAATCTAACCCAAAAAACCTAATAATGGCTTCTCTATTTTCCACCCTTCCTTCTCCCCTTGTTGTCGTCCCCACTCGTTCTAACGCCGCCTTCCCTGTCCCCCAACTCCACTCATCTCATTGCCCTCTTGATCTATTCCATGCATCGTCACCACCATCTCATTTTAGGCACACATCCCGTCCACTCATCTCATTTCATCTCGCCAACCATGTTGTACTATAGTACAGCGTTTTGTCTAAGGCTTGAATGAAATGTATGATAAGATGCTTTTTAAGGTGACCAGTACTGGGCTCGCAAGGCACGAGGAGCCGGGAATTGAAGAGACGTGTAAACACACCCTGGCCTTGCAGTGCGGCGTTGGATTGTGCGGCGACGCGGACATTTGAGAGAGAAAGAATCTCTTCAAGTCTGTAAAGATTTGAGTTGTGGGAGGCATTCATTCGGCAGGGTTGATGATGACCTCGTACAAAGCGCTCGTTGATGATTTGACAACTTCACCAAACGGAGAACCTTCCTGATTTTTAAACACAAGTATCGTAAGACTAATTGGAGCCATCCTAATTACTTTGATTGTTCATGTTGAGAACCAGAAGGCTGCAGGGCAAATTAGTTTAGTTTAATTGTCACTCCAATAGCGTTAACCATAGGACCACAGTGCAGATTATAATGAATACTTTTTCCTGCTGTGCGAATGTTCCAGACTTGAACAATCCGGACTTTTACAGAGACTTGAGCAAGCCCATCGGTGCCCTGAATCCAGAACGGCTGGAGAGATTGCTGGTAAGTTTCTATCGCTCCCGTTTTGTCGGGCATCATTTGTGCATAATAATGTGCGTCCCTTTTTAAATCCTTTATATTAAGTTCACGTGCTTGCTTGCTTGCTTAGGATCGTGCAAATCTTTCGGTCGTTTTTTAACCCACTTCCCGTGATCCAATCGAGCTGGACATTTTGCACACAGACTCGTTGTGTGTGACAATTAATTTTCGTGAAAAAAATTTTTTCCCCAAATTTTACACTGTTTAGGGGAAAAAAATTAAATTGAATTACCATTTGCTTAATGTTGGCAGACAATCATCTGACCCATAGGTGGCAGCCATCTCAAGCCAGAGGACGAGAGGACTCTAGCCGCCCCGATGCCACGCATATAAAGGATTTATAGTGAAAAACTTGGTTTTTACGGGTTAATTTTTTTGTCAATCGGTTGCTGGGTAAAGGCGCGAGGCCATGCCATGTTGATAACGGGGATTATTTGGCCATACGTCACCATGATGATCACTGCTGGTTCATGAAGGGGATGCAGGCTCTGAGACTGGTTCAGATCTTGCGCTACTGATGATGTTATCCGTGGCCGGGAATCAAACTCGCCAGGGGTTTGTGGTACAACGTGTTTAACCGCTTCACCACTGCCTCCTCCATTGGAAACTTGACTGTTACCGAATACTAAATATTGCTATTGTGTGAATTCACTCTTTTGCATGCGAGATGCAAATCTCAAATGTTTCTTGGTTATATATGAATAAAAATGTAGTAGTCAATTTTACATACTGACACCATGTCTTGGCAATATGGTTTCTGTATAAAATTGTACCTGATCAGAATGTGTGTAAAATATTTTTTTTAATGACGATTTTGTGAAAATGTCTGTAGCCTGATGTTGAGACGATATAGCCACAACATACTGGAGAGATAATACACTGCAAATGAGATGAGCAGTACAGATTGCATTCATGAGACAACAAATGAGACTGATTGTACAAACATACATATGGCATCCACAGGGGTATAAATCTACATGGTATGTGGGTTCAATCTTGACTTAAAGCTTTCGTGACTGCAGGAATTCATATTAAAAAAATAGGTATGTGGGTTCTTCTACCACTTCATCCGCGAATTCCATAATTGCTATTAAGTAGGGTTGTCACGAACAGCATTGTACGTGTGTTTACCTTCTGTCGCACCGTACATAGCCGACCGTTCTGAGTGCAATAACATCACAGCTTGCACAGTGTGCTCTAACGTCAATGTACACTGCACAGTGATATCACAACTTTCTCTGCGCCGTGACTTCATAGCGTGTGCTCTGCCGTGCCTGACATTGCAGCTTACGCTGACATGACTGATGCGAACAATGACATCACAACTTGCACTGCATGACATCACAACTTACCCTGTGGTCTGTGACATCGCATCGTACAACGTGACATTGCAGGATTATCGTAATTGCTCGGAGGTCGGGGGAGTTGTGAATTGTTGCGCAGCTGTTCATTAGCGCGATAAATAAATGTGTTTTATCGATTTATAATTTTTTGGCTGGCATTGCAGGAACGATTCCGCGATATGCCCATGGAGCCAAAGTTTTTGTACGGCAGCCACTACTCATCCCCGGGCTATGTTCTCTTCTACCTTGTACGTGTGGGTGAGTAACGCAGGCGGTCGGTGTTTGGTTTTTAAAGTCCATTTTTTTTGTTTTTCCTGTGCGGCGACAGGATCATGCTGTCCAGTAAAAATGTATTTCAATAAACGTTCCCCTCCTACCCATATACCGCCTATGGTTATTCCAGAAAATGTCCCTTTTATTTATTCATAACCTGGGGTTATGTTTAATGGAACGGTGGGGGTTCATGCATTGTTGGTGAACTAGATTCTGAGCTGTGCACAGGAAACTGCAGGCTCCAACGCATTCCCACTCGAGCTCTCGTTCGGAAGTGGGGGAGGAAATCTTTTGGACAAACCATTTGCTCGTTTATTAACCCATCGCTGAGATGTTATTTTAGTAGTACACGTTACATCGCCAGGCGGTGGTGGGCTACGCTGCATGTGGTGGCGATGTTAACTACCTCGCCTGATATGGAGAAGGTCGTGGGTTTGATCTTGACACGAACGCCTGTATATTTGGCGTTTGCGTGTGTATCTCGCCCCGTGGTCACGTGAATTTTTCTCCCGGGTTCTCCGGTTTTTCTCTCCACATTTAGAAGCATGTTTTTAGAGCATTTGGCTGCTATAAATTTCCACGTGATAATCCACTTTGAGCTAGAATTTTTTTTTTTAAATCGCACTTCCATACTTTCGTTATTTATATTTAGTGACTTGCTTACTCCTTTTCACGCTGCAATTTTTTGTTTGCATTGTTGTTGTAACTCACTGACCTGCCCCGACTGGACTTCTGTGAAAATAGCTTCATAGCTCATCGGATTCCTCCTCTAGTTTAAATAAAGCTTCTGATTGTAATGGATATACACGTGACAATGTCTCATCCTACGATGATACGGCTCCATCTTGTCGGTTCATCCCTGCAGTAGTCGCCCTTTCTGGGTGCACTCTGTCTTTGTGTCTGCGTGCGAATGTGTTCATATATTCACTTTGAATTAAAACATTTTCCCTGCAGCGCCGGAACACATGCTGTGTCTACAGAACGGAAAGTTTGACCACGCAGACCGCATGTTTAACAGGTGATATGCCTCCCGCACAAACATTCTTTCTGCTTTTTTTTCATTAATCGCTCTCAATCGATGTTTGATTTTAAATCTAATTGATAGACCCATAGAAGTCTACTCCATGTGGATAGAGTACACTGAAGCCTTTTTAATAGAATGGATTCACGTTTGTGCAAACATTAATTTCAAGTCGTACGCAGCGGAGAGGGGCCGTGCTTCTATGCTGTTGTACAGCAGAGGACAACGTTGCACTGTACTACCATTCCTCCCAAAAGATGTGCACCCTACCTTCACCAGTCCACATTTGCCAATGTAGTGTAGTATGGTCAAATTGCTGCACCCCCCCCTGGACCCTAACCGTGAGCGGCACTGGGAGGTGAGGCTATTATTCGGTCAGTGGCTTGACAAAAGGGCTGTACGATGTGTAATACCGATTTGTAACGGGTTCATATGGCGACTCTAGCCACCAGGGCCCGCTATGATCACCACCATTGTTGAATGATTCTTAAATGGAGTTGTGACCGTTCATGGAATAGCGGAGCAAGAATGGGGGGCGGGGGGACGAAAGAGAGAATCATTAATCTCATAGTTCTGCTCTGCATTCCATTATAATGTACTCACTTTTTATACTGTGTAATTAATTACGCAACCTGCTTGCTAGGTAAGTTCTGTAATATATTCTTTTAAAGAAAATGTTTAAAAAAATAATGGCCTGCCATTTGGAACGCTGACTCATACCCAGAACGCTTGTGAAATTGAAATATTTTAGCATTGCCGACACTTGGAGAAACTGCTTGGAAGGTGTCACAGACTTCAAAGAGGTAAACAATGCATATTTTCATTTACTCGCACCCCCAATTGCCATGCCTTTCACTCCTAACTGCTTGAGCTCTTTCATGTTTTGGCAATTCTCCTTTAAATTAATATCATGAAGTGTTCTTTTTCGTGTAGGTGAGAAACTGGACTGGGATTGGTACCCCAGGGATTATTGGAACTTTTAAGTTGTAATTCACTTTTCCTTCAAATTTTTACCGTGCCCCTTTTTGCGATGAGCCACAACCAGAAGTGAAATGAATAATGCCAAGCCAATTGCAGGTTGAATTGTTTATCAAAGGACATTGGCTCGTCTTGCACAGAGACAGGCCAGAGAGGGTAGGGTCAAGCTAGTGATGCCACTCTCTTACTCCATTAGCATTCGTTGTAATTATTTCTCTGCCGTATGAAAGTCAAAGCTGCATTTTCATTTTCTTGCAAGCCCTTCATTAAATATTTAAAACAAATTAATGCACAATAATTAATACCAATGATGGAGGTCTTCTCATGCCATGTCAGTCATGGGGTTTTGCTCGATCATACTTCACCACGGCAGGTCCATGCAGTCACGTAGGTAAAAAATTAAATTGAAAATTAATAAAAGTAAAATAAAAAAATAAAAATCACGACGTTTCGGAGGCAACACAAGCTTCCGTCTTCAGGTGGAACCGTCACAGCACGATTGCTGTATCAAAAAAAGCTCACGAAAGCTTCACATCTAGAATTATGTCCATGCAGGGTTTACTAAATGAATGGGGCACCTCGGGCCATTTATGACATCGCTTGCCACTTGATGTTTAGCTCTGGCCGGGAAGCGCACTTCCGATTTTTTTTTTTTTTTTTTTTTTTTGTTTTTTTTTTCCTCCGTATTCACACCACGGTGTGACCGCTGCGCCACCGTTCCGCGTCTTTCTATCTCTGGCTGGATATCGAAAGTAAAAAGCGGCGCTCGAGCGTGCTCTCCTGCCCCTCCCCGAAGTTCTTGATTCCCATCGAGGTCGTCGCCCGCTGACAATCGCATGGCTCTGCCCGTCTTTCCAGCTGATTCCCGAATTCTACGGGACTGACACAAGTTTCCTGAGGAACGTCCACAACCTGGACCTCGGCGTGCGACAGGGAGGACAGAGGAGCAACAATGTGGAGCTGCCTCCTTGGGCTAAAGGTGAAATGCGAGCTGCCTCCTCGCCCCATTTTCGGTTTTGTCGGCTAGTGTCCGCTCCAGGTTTAGAGGTTGAAGGTCAACGTATGCTCCCGCGCTTCCTCTCGACGCAAGCTCCCATTGTGTTCGTCGCGTTGAACTGTCCCCTGTCCTTGACGCTGTTGTACCGCCACGTCCTGTCTTTGTCTTCCCCTCTTGACTTCCTGTGCTGCTTCACTCGTGCCTGCAAATATAGCCATCTTCCTTCGTCTGACGGATTGCGTTTATCGTACGCCTCGTGTCCATTCGCCGTTGCTGCCCTGTCTTCTGCCCTCCCGAGTATTCTGAGCGCATATGTTTTCATGAGTGTAAGAAGATGTTATTTTGTGAATACACTGGCTTAAAGAGTGTGATTGGTGACCCATTAACTCTCTCTGGCTTCTGTGCTATGAAGAATGGCCATTGTCTGAAATATAAATTTACATTTTTAAGGCCGCAGTGTTATTGACGAATGCAAAAAATTTTTGTCAACAATTGTGAACCACACTGCCAATTTAAAATGATTTACATTTACGCATCGTGGCGGGATTGTAAGACTCCACCATTCCTTCCCCCCCACCCATGCGACGACGCAGATGCGGCGGACTTCCTGGCAAAGCAGCGTGAGGCTCTGGAGAGCGCCCATGTCTCTGAGCACTTGCACCAGTGGATCGACCTCGTGTTCGGTTACAAGCAGCAGGGCAGTGAGGCCATCGCGGCGCACAACCGTGAGCGAAGAGGCGTTCTCTCTCTTCCCCCCTCCCCCCCCCCACGCGTGGCAGTTACAACACCGCATCGGACGGAAGTGGACATAACCCGTGAGTGCCACAGGTTGTAGCCTGGTAATGCCTGGCCTGTGTTTTCTCATTGCAGTCTTCCATCCACTGACTTATGAAGGAGGAATCAACATCGAAGGGTACTTGCTCTTTCTCTTTTTTTACTTGCGTCAAATTCTTCCGAGGGAGGTTTAATCTCGGCTACCGATCTAGACACGCTTTATGTATCCGTCGCTGGCCGAACGGAATGTGTAAATCTGGATTGGATTGAAGGAAAATCTTAACATTCGTAGCCTTTTTTTAGTTTGTCCTTGCCACGCATCTCCGATTTTGGTGTGGTTGGTTACGTTGGGGTGCGAAAAAAGTTCTAGATTCATAAATATCGGCGCTCGAATGTAATGTCCCTTAATGCAAACCGAGTGCGTCGTAAGAACCAAGTGTTTTTACTCGGGCTCTCCTTGTGGGTTAGTGGCAGGTGTGTGTGCGCTAGTAAAGTTAATTTCAATCAATTGGTGCTTTTCTTTGGAATTCGACAGTAAATCTTATGGAGCACATGAACAATAAAATGCCGCCTGGCTCTCAAACTACGCACAGGGTGAATACCTATGGCATTGCATTGGCATAACGTAATTGGGTAATATTAAACTGAGCATATTGGGCACCGCTCTCTATTTTTAAGCATAGTCCTTGTGCGTGCTGCCTCTGCATCGGCGTGCACACCATTTAATGATGTCACATTCCTCAAATTGGACAGTTTTGGGCTTGAATTAGACTGTCGTCAAAATAATTTGCGGCCAAAGCCGAGCCGCGGCTGGATTAAGGCCCCATCCCGATGTCAGCGCCGTCGGTCCTCCGCCGACTTGCGACTCAATTCTCCATTTTTCTCATGCATGCGAGGAAATCTCCACTGTGGTGGTCGTCGTTGTTGTCATCGTGTGTCCGTTTAGCTATTGTGTGTCGTGTCGTCCACCATCCCTTGCCGCAGCGTGTCCTGCCGATGCTCGCTATTATTAACGGTCAATGCCGTGTCTATAATTTGCGTTTTGTTCTCCGATCCAAGTGTTCGTTTTTTTTTCCTCCTCGGCGTAATTTCAAGCATGCATCTTCCCCACGTTTTCAGTTGTAGGTGTATTATCTATTTTCTCGTTTTTAAAGGACAGACTATAGAATTCCATTAACTGTTGCTAATATTGACCCTGTCGGTCAATTCACAATCTTTGCCGTTTTAATTTCCTACAACTTTAATTATTTGAATTTCGAATGAAATGTACGCACGCACGCACAAATGCCCCTTTTATTATTCAGTGTGCGCACATGCCTTAGTAATGCATGGTTAGGAAGACTTGGCTTCCTTTTCACACCTTCGATTCTGCAATACATTACACACATGACAGAGCATTTCAAAACAAACCGATTACTTGATTGCTGTGCCGCACGCTCAAGTAATAATAAAAGTTGAGTTTCAGTTTCGTTGTTGTTGCCACTTCGAGGCTCCCAAAACACACATTGGGAAAATCTCCCGCGTCACTCAATGAAGATGTAACAGTTTTCCCATAGCCGTTTTCTTCGTCCCACACTAAAATTGCTTATCGATGTTGGCCCTTGGCCTCTCCACCCACTGCGCCCCCTCCGACCACACCACTCCCTGCCTCCTCTCCAGGGTCCGCGATGCCACGGACAAAATAGCGGTGCTGACCCAGATCCTGGAGTTCGGACAGACTCCGCTACAGCTCTTCAAGACGCCGCACCCGCAGCGTCTCGCTCCGCGCTACCACAGCCACTCGGCCCGCTCACCCTCCACTCCCAGCAGCCGTGGTGTGCCCTGGACCACCGTAGGTACGGCCCCGGCACCGCAGCTCGAAAAATAGAGCAGAGGTCGGCGGATCGAAATTGGTGGATTTTTACCAGTTTAACACCGAAAAGCTTTCGACCAATATTATCCATAATACTGTATAGGTTTTGTCGGATGGAGCTGGTGGTAATCGCCAGCGAAGCATCACGCTACTCGAATTGTAAAATGTTGTGGGTTTACTTTCCAACGCACCGGTGTGCTTGAAGTAGCAACTTATTGGCACGTATTGTTTACGTGCCCTTATTATAATTGGCTGTGTCGGGTGGTGGTGGGTTTTAATGAAACGTATATTCATGCATAGATTTACAGATGTTATTGTTTGTCGGTTCCGTGATTTTGTAAGCACTTGGCAAAGCAGCGGTAGTTTTATTCACGGAATATACTGTTCAAAGTGCGATTCTTTGTTTTATTTAGTCGTTATTGTTACACTTGAGTACCCAGAAATGTGTCCGAGTTTCAAGATTCGTTTTCAGAAGTCTCATGCCAAGTTTTCACAAAGTGGGGTGATGTTGGTGCTGCGGTGTAATCCCAATTAAGTAATTCGTAAGGTGGTGATTGGCCAATTTCAGTTACTTTTGTGTGTGTGTTCGTGTGCGTTTTTTAATAACGATGACCGACTGTATGAGTGGATGACTACTCAAGCGTGGCGATGATGATTTGTGACGACAACTACCCACAAGTGTGACTGACTTTGGCTGGACTGAAATGAAGATGCAGATAAAAAATAATTCGGCAACGTTATTAGGGCTAGTAATGTCGTACGATGAAGCGCAAACGTGGGTCTTGGCTGAGCTGATCACATGGTTGCGGGTGGGGCGTTGAGAGGCGGAGGTGGAAATTGCATAACCCATCTCTCCAATATTTAATAACGGAGTACACTCAATTTTTTCCTGCTTCAGTCGACGAGACCAGAGCCATTGCTTCACGAAATCCACAGACCTAAGACTTGACCAACAGTCCTAAGATCATGACTGAAATATAAAATAATTGTTGCTAAGTTAACACCGAAATGTCACCTACATTTTTTTAATGTTAATAAAAGTAAGCGGGCTTGACAAGGACATTTCGCGAGCGAGGATTATGGTTTGGGGGGGGGGGGGAGGGTCTAGACCAATAAGAGTGGCAGCCAAAGGATGGAACGATGAAGTCTGCTCGTGCGTGGGTGGATTGTTTAGTCCATGAGAAGTGGCGTCAGCCTGAGGAGGCCTTCATTCAGCAGTGGCTTGATTTTTTAAACTTCCTTTTAATAATGAGTTGCACTATCTACCATTGGCACCCTGCATACTTGTAATACTTTGCGTAAATGGGATTGTGGTGCTGTGGCAGGACACCCAAAACTGTCCAATTGATGAGATTAAGTCAAATCCCAGTTTGCGTGTGCTCTGGTTCCATCTCTTTGTGATCAACCCCCCCCCCCCCCCCCACCATCATCAAGATTGTTGGGTTGCTGGATCACAGGGCAGAAAGCTACCATAACCCCCCCCCCCCCCCCCGCTGGAAAATAACAAATGCCACCTGTTAACAGATCCAGCGACCGACGCAAGTCCTGAAGACTCGTGCTTTGAAGACCTGACGGAGGACAGCAAAACACTCATTTGGAGCAACCTCGGCGAGATGAAGATCTCTTCACGGCACAAGTTTCACAAGGAGTGAGGAATTCCCCCTTCCCTCGCACCAACGTGAAGGCTGCCCACGATAGGGTGATGCATCGTGCGTTAAGAGGCTCATAACATTCGCGTCGTCCAGTTTTTTCCCCTAAATATCGTCAAATTGTGATGGTCCAAGCACTTTTTCGTTTTACTTTACACCTTGAAAAAATATGCCCAAACGTAAGAGGTTTTTTTTGGGTTAAATCGCGTAAATAGAAATGTTTTCTTAAACCCACCACCGCCTGACAACCAGCATCGTCAGGCGACAGCCGGGGTTGTGGAGCGATCCCCCTTTTGTTTCGATTTAAAGCTTTTGTGACTGCAGGGATTCATCTTCTTGGTTCTTTCGGTAAAGTCACGTAGAAGGGAAATAAATTGTTTTTATTATATTATTTTATTATGTTAAAATTGTATTATTTCCCTTCTACGTGACTTTACCGATAGAACCAAGAAGAAGAAAGATCCCCCTTTTGTTTGGGGGGTGGGGGTTTAGGGTATTCCTATATCCTTTTTCGGCTGGGTTATGCATGGTTAATCGACATGTATAATGTGCATGCGCGATGTACTTTCATTGTGCATGAAAAAATCGTTTAAATATCTACGTGAATAGCTATAAATGTATTCTGGAGTATTTGACGGTGTGCCAGTTCATCTTCTTGGTTCTTTCGGTAAAGTCACGTAGAAGGAAAATAATAAAATAATAAAAAATAAAATATTATAAAATAATTCTCACGACGTTTTGGCCACAACGCAAGCAGCCTGTTTCAGGTGGAGAACAGGTCTGTCGAGGAGACAGTGTGCCAGTTATATGACATCATCATTTTTGTTGTTGGTGGACCCAGTTCAGTTGGTGATTGTGCAACTCGCAGTTTTTGTGCATCTTTTATGGAGCAGCGTTGTGGGTTGCAAAGCTGTGGTGCGTGGAAAATGAACCTCGGGCTTGAGTTTTGATTAAACTGCTATTGCAGAATAACTTTTTAAGTGACTGTTAATCCTACTGCGGAAGAACAGCAAGCACAGGCAACACGATAAACTTTCACGATACAATTTACGAAGTTGCGGTCGACTGACACAGGCAATTGTCACGTGAAAATTTATATCAGAATCATTATTTATACTGGAGCTATAAAGCAATTTTTCACGGATGTCCAGGGAGGTGTATCATGAGGATTTTATCTCTGCAAATCTAATTCACACGACACTCGCGGTCGCTCGCCCCACCGTACGAAACGCCCCCACCCCGTGCGTCACGCCGTTACTCCCCGCTAGTTTAACACGTAGGCTTTCGCGACCAATATTATTCATAATCAACGTTTTAGGGTTTAGATCGCGTTATTTATAAATGTGTCGTAACCCTCCACCACCCGACACGGCCAATCAGTAAAAAAGTGTCACGTTGACAAAAGACAAATAGTTCACTGCTTTAGCCCACCGGCGTGTTGAAGCGTGAAACCACAACATTTACAATTTTAATTGTAATTGAATCGTAAATGTTGTGGTTTCACGCTTCAACACACCGGTGGGCTAAAGCAGTGAACTATTTGTCTTTTGTCAACGTGACACTTTTTTACTGATTGGCCGTGTTGGGTGGTGGAGGGTTACGACACATTTATAAATAACGCGATCTACTCCCCGCTAGCCTGGTGGTGTTCATTCAGACGCTGTCTTTCCGACAGACCTGTTCTTCACCTGAGGACGGCTGCTTGCGTTGTGGCCGAAACGTCGTGAGAATTATGTAATATGTTGAATTTTTATTATTTTATTATTTCCCTTCTACGTGACTTTACCGAAAGAACCAAGAAGATACTCCCCGCTGTCGCTGCTAATGCCTCCCCTGCCTCGTGGTGGCACTGACGAGTCGCGTTCACCCCCTCCACCCGTTGCTGGTCCCATGCGGTGAAAGCAAAGCCCGCCTTTTGTGGCCGGAGGAATGCTCAATAATCCAATTACCGCTGACCTTTAGTGGGCTGGCAGGATGCTGCACGTTTCCCTTGCGCGTTTGGCCGTTAGACGGGGCCATTTCCAGAAGACGAGGTTTTAATTGATACCCGCCTTCAGGCCATGCTGGATGGATTAACTTGGCCGGTCTGCAGTGCAGGACAATTTACGGTGCATTTTGAATTTATATGGCATCTAAATGCGACCTGCATTTCCAAACGTGGTATAGAAACAGTAGACATATTTACTGTGTGTATATATTGGAGACAATCGCATAGACCCACAGATGCACCCCAGAGACGTATATATATATTAACCTCGACACCTATAAATTTCCACGTGGGTGGGCACCACAGACTCGCATATGAACCCACAATCGTAGGCTTGGACCCATAGAACCCCTGTCTTGTGACTTTGTGTGTGTGCCGTTTAGTTTTTTATATATATATTTTTAAGTGATTGGTTTACATTTTCTATACTCTTTGGTTCTTTCGGTAAAGTCACGTCAGTGATTATTTTTTTTAGAAATGATCAAATTAAATCACGACATTTAGGAAGCAACACAAGCTTCCGTCATCAGGTGAGACAACCACAGCAAAAAGCTACATTAATTACTGTAGTTGGCAAATGAATGATTTTAGTTTTTTGCTTTGGTTGTCCCAACTGACAAGCTTGTGTTGCTTCCGAAACGTCGTGATTTAATTGAAATTTTTTTTTTTTTTTACCTACATGACTTTACCGAAAGAACCAATGAGTGGATCCTTGCAGTCACGAAAACTTCAAATATTCAATAACATTTTCTATACTTTGCACTCCTGTGTTTTTGTTTTCGTGTTGTTTGTTGTAATGTTCTGACCCGCACATACTAGACATCTGTGAAAAAGATCTTTATAGCTCATGGCATTCCTTCCAGTATAAAGATTCTGATTCTGTATTTCTCAGTCCGGTGTCTGCGATCTGCACCACGTCCGATGACTCTGCCGTGTTCACCACATCTCAAGGTACGGCAATGTTGGTAATGATACTGTACATGCTCATTGGTTCTTTCGGTAAAGTCACGTATGTAGAAATGAAATAAAATTTAAATAAATCACAAATAAAATTACAATGAATCCACGACGTTTTGAACTCAACACAAGTGCTCATCGGGTGAAAATGGGGCAAAATGCATAGCGTGGGAACACACAGAGGGACATTACACACACAGAACAGCAAATACAGCAAGAAGATGGGAGACAACAAACCTTATAAACATAATGCGCTGCAAACCAGTCGGCCAACAACACAATTGGACACTAACCTGGTTGACCACGTATTTCAAAAGACTGCAAAATTTTGTGTTCATCTTCTGGGCTGAACATGCCAACGTAAACAGAGGACAAGGACTCGTGAACAGACACGAGGTACAAGATAGTAGAGATGCATACACAGAGAAGACACACAGGGAAAGATATTCTTCTTGGTTCTTTCGGAAAGTCATGTAGAAGGGAAATAATAAAAATAAAACATAATAAAATAATTATCACGACGTTTCGGCCACAACGCAAGCAGCCGTCCTCAGGTGAAGAATAGGTCTGTCGGAAAGACATTGTCTGAATGAACAGACCTGTTCTTCACCTGAGGACGGCTGCTTGCGTTGTGGCCGAAACGTCGTGATAATTATTTTATTATGTTTTAATTTTATTATTTCCCTTCTACGTGACTTTACCGAAAGAACCAAGAAGATGAATCCCTGCAGTGACGAAAGCTTTAATCTCCTTGGTGTGGTGTTGCTCTGGTTGTCCATCTGTGCTGCCCGAAACATCTTTCCCTGTGCGTCTTCTCTGTATGTATCTCGTGTCTGTTCGCGAGTCCTTAACCTCTGTTTACTTTGGTATGTTCAGTCCAGAAGATGGACACACAATTTAGCTGTCTTTTGATATGTGGTCAACCAGGTTAGTGTGTAACTGTGTTGTTGGCCGACTGGTTTGCATCGCATTATGTTTCTAAGGTTTGTCGAGTTTGCGTCTCCCATCTTCTTGCTGTAATTGCCTCCGTGCAGTTTGCCATTCTCTGTGCTCTGTGTGTGATGTCCCTTTGTGTGTTCCCTCGTGATGTATTTTGCCCCATTTACACCTGATGATGAGCTCTTGTGTTGCGTTCAAAACATCGTGATTTATTTTAATTTTATTTCCTTTTATTTCTACATACGTGACTTTACTGAAGGAACTGAGTAGTAATTCCTGCAGTCACGAAAGCTTCAATTCTAGATACTGTACGTGTGCCGCGGTGGTGACGTTAACTACCTCGCCTGAAGTACAGGAGATCGATCCTGACGCCGTATTTCAAATTTTTGTTTCTCTCCCCATGGTAGCGTGGATTTTTCTACACGTCCTCCAGGTTGTCCTTTCACATTTTAGTCGCTATCATGCGTGTGAAGAGTATTTAGCTACTGCTATAAATATCCACGTGTAAAGAAAAATAGTTTAGCTACTATTTGTGATGGCCAGCTAATTTCTGTAGGTCATGAGGGTCATTTGACCTTCTTCCGTGCCGGTCAGTGCAGATTGGTGAAGGCAGGGAGCATAGGAAGAACAGTACAGCAATGGATATTTCTGCACGGCCTTATGCCCCGTGGCCTATATACCCTTGTGAATGGTAATCGCACGTCAAAGCATCATCCAGGCTCAACCCTGCTTGGCTTCCAAGATCAATAGGTGCCTCCCAGGGTAAAACGATGTTAATGTATTTTATGTGGCGAGATGGATATGAACGAAGACGTATGGTCTGCTTGACTCCTTGTGGTTACGAAAGGTCATTCGGGTCCTTTATGTATGTAATGGTTGATGCACTGCTGTGAACCCAGCAACCTTCATTTGATTTTGTGGCCACTGCTGACATCATTTGGCAAGTGATGTCTGAACCAGTGCCCCCCCCCCCCCCCACCTTTGTCGCCAAGCCACACTGACCAGCATGATAAAGTATGGCCAAAAAACCCCCATGACTGACATGGTATGGGGAGGCAAAGAGTTGTACATTCTATTGAAAACCGGCTGTGAAGTATTTAAAAAAATTAATATGCATACAGTGGTACCCCAGAGATCGAACTTAATTCGTTCGTTCCAGAAGGCCGTTCGAACACTGATTTGTTCAAACACCCAATTTATTTTACCCATAAGAATTCATGTAAATTACATTAATTGGTTCCAGACACAAGAAATCTCTGAAAGCATTTTTACACGAAGTTTACAGTAATTACATGCATGAAATCATGCAAAAAACCAAGAACACTAAATAAATAAATGGAATAAATGAATAAATATATGGAATACATGAAATAAATGAACATTGAACTTCACTTTACCTAATAGTAAGGGGAGAGTTGATGGCTTGAGTGGAAGGTGGTGAGGAGGTGGTGGTGGTGTTATTGTTTGGAAGGGGGCATCCACTTTGTCTGGGCAAAGCGGTCATGTGCGCTGGCCATACGTGTCTCAGCCGTACAAGTGCTTTCAAGTAGTAATAGGTTTTTACCCTTTTTTATCTGGCAATAAAACTGACACCTTTTTTATACGAGGGATCATGTTTGCAATAACCACAACACTTGCAGTCAAAATACAAACAAAAAGACAACTCTGATAATGATATGCACTGTCCTGGAAATTGATTGGTCCACACCCGAGACGGCTTTTCTTAGAGCCCAGTCTCACATGGTGTTGGACCAGATGACGCCAAAAGGTTCTTTCAAGTCACGATTGCCCGTTCGACCTCCGAATTTCCTTCGGTTTCCGGGGCAAAAAATGTTCAGAAATATTGTTCCAACACCGATTTTGTTCGAGTTCTGGTGCGTTCGATCTCCGAGTTTCTACTGTGTATCCATAATGTGTAGCTCACTTTACTGCTAATCCGAGCACTTCTCTTTGCCCGTCTTCCCTCGCACTGCTCCTTCCACTCGGATCAACTCCCGTCGTTGTCCCTTGTCCCAAGTTCTTCTAACCTCTCTCAATTCAAGAAATGCTTTCACTGTTTGCTACTGTAACAGAGTGCTGTTTGCTGTTGGCCACTCTAGTTGTGGGCCCTTTTTGGGCCTATGCACAGAAACCACGGTTTCGAAATGCACAACTTAAGTGACAGTTTGTTTTTAACTTCATACACATGCATTCACGACCCAATATCATTCATAATTGTTTTTCTTTTTGGGTTGGGTCGTTGTGTAAGTGTCGTCAATCCTCCACCACCCAACAGACAATTAATAAAAGTGTCGGGTGAATCACACGTGCTCGCTTTATTAATCTCACTATTTAAATGTGAAATTATTCTCCAACACACCGGTGGTGCTACTGAAGTAGTAATCGATTTGGCACGTTTGATTCGCACATGACACCTTGTATTACATGGGCGATGTAACGTTTTAGAGGGGTTGACAACACACACATTTACACTACAACCTAACCCAAAAGACTAACCAGTTACAAATCATTCCTTGATTTTTGCTTGTTTCCGTCGCCATGTTGGCATTTAGTGCTGACTGACTCGCATTTCTGTAAAATAGAAGGTGCACACGCCCGGCTGATCGGCCTGACTGGAAGGGGGGAAAAACCCGCAGCAGCAATTGTAATTCACTTTGCTGATAATGACCAGACGGTCTGCTACAGGCATGCTGCAATTTGATGCCATGTGGTGCTTCACTAGATGGTAGTTGCACGAGACGCCCATGGAAGCCCTGGAGAATAGACACTCTAATTGCAAAGAAATGTAATGCGGGCTCGCGTGTGCGTGCCGTTGCCACAAATTGAAAGCCAACTGGCACGCAAAATGTACCCAAGCATAATTTATCTCTGGTACGTAAATCGCACAACCACTGCCATGTACCCACTAACGCAATGAGGGGCTGGCTGCATTGACGGCAGTGTCCAACTGCAGATCGAAAGTGCTGTGCACCGCTGGGATGAACGCGCGCTGTGCTATAACGTAAAACATGCACACTCTGTTCCTTCTCGTCGTTGAAATGGACAGTGAATAAAATCGCTGTTAGCTCCTTGAGCCCCAAAAAAAGGTAATTTTTTTGTAAACTTTTCGGTTGCATTTTGTTAGGGCAAGCAACACCCTGGAATCGTTTCAACTTCCAAGTTTCATTGGCCGAATGTGCCCCATTTTAAATCAATTCAGCTTTTCACGTGGTTGGTGCTGTAGGGCGAGGGGGAAGCCCCCCCCCCCCCCCCTTCTTCTAACACCCATGGGTTGGAGTTGTACAAATCGTGTTTTTAACAAAATATATAATGGACTTGACGGTTTGGGCAGTGGCCAAAAATGTAGCTAGGCAAGGAAAAATGGATTGAAATATTTTCTTGCTGCAGTAATGTGGTGGGCCAAAAATCAGAATACAGGGTTATTTAATTTATTTGAACACTGGCATGGAAACCATTTTAATTGTTTATTATTTAAGTTTCTGTTTTATCTATTATCATTTATCTATTTCTTACTGGTGGGGTCACCCCAAATCTGTCGTTCACAAAACTCGACAAAGAACCCAGAATGAATTTAGACGAAACATAGTTAATAATTGTTGAAAGATTATACCTTTTTTCTTAAATAAAAAGAAACTTACTAAATGAATTTTAAGAGTGTATGCACTAATGTTACGTTTAAAATGAATATAATTACCTTGCGTGTCCTGACTTTTGGGCCACCCTGTATAATTAGCTGTTTTAATGTAGTGCTTTATCCGCGGGCACGCCCGCCAAGGAGATGGAGTGTTTAAATCGGCTGCGGTTAGCGCACTGCGCTCTGCACCAGGTGACCAGAGTTTAGATCCTGACAACAGCTGATGTCAGCGGCACGCGATGACAAGTGAAACTTTCTGCGTTCCTACCCCATCGAGTAAGAGCGCACTTACCAGCGTGGTGAAGTATGGTCCAACAATCCTCATGAATGATACTGTGTTGGGGTGGGGGGGTGGAGACTTGCATTGACCAAGTGCCTCTGAAATGATTTTATGTACTTAGCAGTGTTAATGACAAAAGTGACAAGTTGATATTGGTTTGGTCGCTCGTTGATGTAAGTTAATTTCTACCTTGTCCTCTTCCGCAGACTCGACCTTGAAAATGTTTTCCAAAGATTGCATGGCTCTTCAACGCAGCGTCGCATTTTCCTTCATGGTAAGGGACCCCCCCCCCCCCCGGTTTAAATTTGTGCGTTGTATGCCATTTTTTTAAAGCCGGTAAAAACAAACAAACCACAGTTTTGACACACCTGCAAATTGAGGCATCACGCCAGGATGCCGATGAAGTTACCCGTGTCCAACTACTTCTTTGACCTCTCCATGTGCAGTGCATGTTTGTGAACATCGCCACTGGGGAGACAAAGGCGGGCGTGTGTGGTGCTGGCCATTCGCCCCCGTCGTATGCCGTGCCGACCTTCATCAGTGCTTCTAGATTTGAAGCTTTCGTGACTGCAATGATTCTTACTCTTAGGTTTTTTCGGTAAAGTCACGTAGGTAAAAATAAAAATAAATGAAAATAATAGAAATAAAATAATAAATCACGACGTTTCGGAGGCAACACAAGGCACGGCAAAATAACTAGTGGTCCCACCACAATTATTTTGCTGTGCCTTTCTACACCTGATGAAGGAAGCTTGTGTTGCCTCCGAAACGTCGTGATTTATTATTTTATTTCTATTCTATTATTCTATTTTTATTTATTTTCATCAGTGCTTCTCTCTAACAGCACTTGCCCCAAATGGCCTGTTAAGGCTATATGGGGGAATATCATCTATATATATATATATAAATATATGCATGCACATGTGTTTTAAAGATGAATGGCATTCAGCGTTTGTAAAGTAATTGCTCATCATGACCTTTTCATTACAGGCCCTGTCTACATGCACAGTGCTCCCTGGAGACTCCACCGTTATATGTGGCTCCTGGGATAACAACGTGTAAGTGCTCGCTGCTCTGTGCCGTAGTAGTAGTAGTAGTAGGAGGCTTATGATTTAGCTCGAGTCTCAAACCTCCTTCTTCAGGAGGCTCCTGTCAAGGTTTTGCAGGCGCGGCCAACGTTGTCGCTGTTCCGTAATCCTAATTGAGTAGATTATAGATAACGTTTCAGCATTGGGACATTTGGCCCACGCGATGTAATATTTTTTGCTTTCTAATAATACAATTTTGCTATGGCAGGACACCAGGTGAATCTGGAGGAAACCTAATAAAACCGCTCTTCCGCTCTTGAGATGAGTGCTAAGCAGAATAGACAACCTCCCAGATAATACCGTTACTCTTAAGATTATTCGTGAGTGGATTATCCGGGTTGTTGAATGACCGTGCTTGTAAAAAAAAAAACATTAAATGTCAAACTTCACATTCATTGCGCTCTGCCACAGTAGTGGTGTAAATGATCAGCACGCCAGACTTGGCAGTACAGAGGTCACCGATTTTTTTTATTCGCTATCCTGACACGGAGGCGAGTAGGTGTAGACCGGTGTGTGCACCGAGCCCAGCTGTAGCACAGCAGGGCAATCGAGGGATGGCGACCAACGTGGGGGAAGGCGTTCATCCAACAGTGGACAAAACATGGCTGATAAGTCAACCTTATCCTTACAACGAAATAACTCTGAAACGGTGTGTTCAGGACATTTATTGGATATCGGGTATGCACCACCACGCCTGACCACAAAGGTCAGAATTGATTCGGATATCACTCCTCCACCTGATGTCAGTCGACGCTGGGAGTCGTCGAACTCAGGCCTCCCAGGTTTTGCAGCACGATGCGCTAAACCAATGCCCCTGCCAAACCATCCCAACGAGATAGTATACAATAGGATTACAAATATTTCAGTAAATAAATAATGTTTTTGGTCGGAATGTGTACAGCGTTGTTTTTATTTCCTCATTTATTCATGGTGTTTACTTTTTCACGGTAACAAATGGAGGTATTTGCAAGTGCTGTTCATGGACAGAATAACTTTTGAAAATGATTTGCATCGATCATGATGGTAAATCCGGTATTGAAAATGAGTTATTGATTTCTGGTGAGGATTTTGGAGAGGAAAAAATCCTGACATGCAATACATTCTCTCCAAAAATAAATAAATAAATCGTTGAACACTTTAATCTACATCAGCGCCCATTCAACATCGCAGGGCCTTAATTCAGGAGTCGGTGGGTACCGTGCCTTGCCAGTTTTTGATGTAGAGTTGTCTAAATCGTCAAAAAAAAAGTGGTTTTATTCCGCCTATACGCGCACGATGTCCAACGTCTCCAACTGTACACGAGCTGTCTAATTTGCCCTTCGATTCAATAATAGATATATTTTTTTGTTTTTAAATAATATTATTTTTGTAACTACTGCTGTTGCTTCTTCCTGGTATTTCTGCTCGCATGGCGGCTGCTTCGCCGGTTCTCTTCCACCGTCCATTGCTGTCCTCATTGCTATACCACCTCGATTTGTCAGTTGTGTAATATTCCTTGAGGCTCCTGCTGTACTCGGTCGTTGCAATGTCGATGTATTTTTTTGTTGCTGGGCTTACGCAGCACCACGGGACCTCCCTTGTCATATAGCCTTTGTAATATAATATGTCGCTAAACGGGACCATCATCCGCGTAACAAATAAAATAAATTTTTACTTGATACTAGAATTCCATTTCTGCACATCTGTATTGTTTATAACTTTCTTACCCACCCCTACGAGACATCTGCGAAAAATTGCTTTATAGCTCGTCGGATTCCTCCAGTATGAGTAGATATTCCGAGGTATGAACATTCATATAATTTCAGCCGCTAGGCCTATTCCTCCTCTCGCTGCAAAGACAAAGATCCCCCCCCCCCCCCATAGCCTTAACGAGCTGTTGGGGAAAGTGCTGTTAGTTAACACCGATCAAGGCCCCCGGCACGGTACACAAGGGGTGGGTGGCCAACACCGTGCCCGGCCGCCTTTGTCTCCCTAGTTGTGATATTGGCACTGTGTACAAGGTACTAATTTGAGGCTGAGTTGACCTAGGGGAGGCCCGGTACGAGTTCAGATAAATGCAGTGTGTGGGAATCGAACTCTGGTCTCCAGTCGTAGCGCGGCATGCTAACCACTTCTCCTCCATCCCCCACATTAGGTACTTCTACTCGATAGCGTTTGGCCGCAGGCACGACACGCTGATGGGGCACGATGACGCTGTGTCGCGCGTCTGCTGGCGCGCCGACGTCCTCTACACTGCCTCCTGGGACTCCACGGTCAAGGTAAGGAGGAGCGCCACTCGCTACCACGAACCCTGGTCAACAACGACTCCCATGGCACGCTCGCTCGCCCACCCACTCGACCACTTTTTTTTAGTTTGGTTTGTTGTCCTTCCCCCGCACCCTCCAGTTAGCTACGTGCAGTGCGAAACATTCTACACGGTTCTAGATTTGGAGCTTTCGGTAAAGTCGCGTAGGTAAAAAAATTAATAAAAGTAATAATAGATTTACTGTATCAAGTGAGGCCTTGCTTGATACAGTAAATCTAGCTGTGACGGCCCCACCTGATCAGGGTTGCGATTTGCGCACCAATTTCTGCAAACATGCTGTTTTCGACCGCATTTCGCGGTAGTTTCTGTGACCCTCTTCCGCACAAATTTGCGGTGATTCCTGGGAAGACTTCCGCAAATCGTGACTTCGATTCCCGCCTATACCGGTGCCGTACTCGCGCGGTTGGCGCACATATCTCGCGTCTACCCACTTGCCTCTGCCGTAGCTACTCTATACCTCCTGCAAATAAATACACTTTACTGCTAACGATAATAGCTCATAACATCACACACAGATTCAAAAATGAGCAGCACCCCCACCACCAAGAGCAAGCCTATCGTCCTCGAGCGCTGGTTCCTCGGCCGCCTGTGCTCTCATTGGTGGCTGGGCTGAGACCACCAACTCACTACTCTTGAGAACCCAGTTTCAGCACGGGCAGTTGCCAGGGTTTTTAATCCAGGATCTCAGCAGTGCCAGCTAAAAGCTCTGACCTGTGACCATATACAGTAATGCCCCAGTTTGCATCGGGGATGCGTTCCTGAAAGGTGCGACAACGAATATCAAAGACGTCAATCAACGCAATTTATAGGGTAGGTGGTGGAGGCGAAGGCTGAGAGGCGACATAACGAGAAAGGATGGACGATGTTGTGTCAGCGACGTGTGGGGTTGAGGCGACGAAAATTGGTTGTGATGTTAATAAAGCGACGACTTATTTGAAAAACGACGTTAAAGGGGGTAACGTAAATCGGGGTATGACTGTACTTATTATTCAGTGTGCTGCATTATTGTGAGAAAATATCTTGTTTGAGATTGGATAGTACGTCCAGTTTTATGTCCTTTAATTCGGTCCATTAGAGATATTATTAGCCTGCTTTTCATCAGGCTAATAATAATACACAAAATCGAATAATTACTTGTTTAAACACCGACATGCCAATTACTGCAAGGAGACACAAACCATGTTGTTTTACATTGTATGTTACTGATTAGTGATTGCGCATTGCAAGGTGCTCAATTCTTACATTTTCATTATTGCATTGTATTGGGCCTGACATTGGGCCTTCACAAATCTACACTGACCAGTGTGGTGAAGTATGGTTAAAATAACCCTCATGACTGAAAGGCTTGAGGAGGCCTTCATCTAGAAGTGGATTCTACACAGTAAAGCATTTTTTTTATATATAATACAGGGTGCTTAAAAAAATGTTAACACTTCTGAGAATTTGCAACAACACCACAAGAAATGTGCCTCCGGGCTCTGGAGACCACCTGCAGAAGATTCCAGGTATGCGTTGATAATGATGGCGAACAAGGGGAGATTCTTAGACTTTTTGAAGCTATTAACATACATTTGTTTATTTTACCAATAAAAACCATAGTCCCATAAAAGTGTTACATAATTTTTGAAGCACCCTGTATATCGTTTTCACAACTGGCCGAGTGGGTAGTATGGAGTTGATATTGGCAGATTGAACCCCATCTCATTTGTAATTCTGGGGGGCAGTATTCAAAGGATTCCTATCAGCTGTGACGTGGGTCGTTTCTCACAACTAAATCTTGCACACACTTTCTATACGGACCAAAACTCAGCAACTTTGATGCCGAAGACAACATGAAGCGCTGGAAGAATGCGAAGAAGAGAAAGTACATTTGCTCGTAATCACGCTCTGCCTTTGAATAAAGTACATTTGCTCGTAATCACGGCTCTGCATTTGAATAAAGTATGTGGTTCTTGTGCGGAAATGCGGAAATCATATATTCATTGCAATCAGTAGCTCAAAGCCCTGCGTGATGTTGGGCCTTGCATATATCCTTTCCAATAGAACGCATTAACGTGTTGTTAAAAGCGCGCGGTCACAGGAGTAGTCTTTCCATCGTTTGCGGTTGACATTAGCAGAAATGCGGGAAAAATTGAACCCTCCTTCCGCATTTTCCATGCGGAAATCGCAACCCTGCCCACCTGATGACGGAAGCTTGTGTTGCCTCCTAAACGTCGTGATTTATTATTTTATTTTATCCCTATTATTACTTCTATTAATTTTTTACCTACGTGACTTTACCGAAAAAACAAGAGTATTCTACACCGTTGCATACAACTACATTTAGAGCTCTGGTAAAATATTTTTTTCACTCTAGTTATTTAGTTTTGTTATTTAACGAACACGAGGAAGACCACTTGTGCGTATGCATGGTTGTGACATGTGGCAAATCAGTTTTATACAACTGTAAGTCACCGAAAAACGTTATTAAATTCTAATAGGGTAAATCTTGACTAGCAAGATGAGACGAATGCAATTTTGTTAATATTCAATCATCTTAACGAGATCGACAGACGGACATGGCTATTGCATTAACGCTTTCAACCTTGGTTGGAAAGCATTAATAAAAAATGTACAACCCATTTTCAATCCACTGATGGATGAGGGCCTCCCCATGCTGCGCTGACCATGCGGGTTGATTGATTATACTTCATGATGGTGGTCAGTGTGGTTTGAAGGGGGGTGGGGGGTTATCTACTGCCAGCTCCTATGCCACTCGCCACTTCTTCTTGGTTCTTTCGGTAAAGTCACGTAGAAGGGAAGTAATAAAATAATAAAAATAAAACATAATAAAATAATTCTCACGACGTTTCGGCCACAACGCAAGCAGCCGTTCTCAGGTGAAGAATGAAACACCACCAAGCTTGGAGCGTATATTTAAGCTGGGTTGGAGGGGGAAGAAGAGCGCCTTGACAAAATAATTTGCATATCAAGAGGAATTTAGCATATTTATGGGAAATGCATAGGAGGAGTTTCAAAGTCATATTATGCCCGTGCAATTCACTCGCCACTTGTGTCAACCCTGGAATCGACTCTGCCCGCTGGGTTCAAAATACGACGCGCTAACTGCTGCGCCACCACTCGACCCCTTAATTTAATTATTTAAAGGGGAGGAAATGGTTTAATAAAAAAACCTATTTAGCTGTTGCTTCGTTAAATATTCAAGATCTGTTCCCATTCTCTCCTGAGTTTAAATCTGTGGCAATGGAGAAAAAAACCCACTTTTTTTATTGATGTCCGGCCCTTCTACAAGGTCCGTGAAATGTGACCGGCTTGCTTGGGTGCCTCCAGCCATGATCACTCCACTGCTGGATGATGTCGATGGTGTACAACCACCATGCGCTGTTTGAGTGGTGCTCTTATTCCCAGCAGCACGTAGTTTCGGGTTTTATGCATGGCTCGGTGTGTTTTTATGAACTACACATGATTGCTGCCAAAACTTTTGCGCAGCCTTGTCGGTGCGCAAAGAAAAGCCAAACAACAAATGTGCGGCGTTTGGTTATTTTGTTAAGTAATAAGTTCCAGTGCATTATTTCCTAATGGGTGGAATGATGGTGGATTACAAGAAACATGTCAGCCACTACATCAGGTGGGCGCCACAGCAGAGCGAGAGCGATTACAGGTAATGGTATTTATGTTTTAAATACGTGATGTGAATGGGTTTAAATTTTCACCGTGAAGTCAGGAACTGTTTGCCCCTGAACATAACGATCTCATTGCTTTCTTGCCTCTGCCAATTGGATATTCTGTAGTAAAATCATTCCTTTGGCACCTGAACGCATTATTTGGTGCTGCTGCTGCTGCGTTGGCATTGGTTGATTATATCTGTACCGGATTTGGGCCTCTCCTAGATCTGCTCAGCCTCAAATGAGTAGCGAGTGCAGTGTGTAAACTTCCCCATGAGGTAGACACCGTCTGGCGGGTGTGGTGCTGGATACCTACCTCCTTTCGTGTGCCGTGCCAGTTTTTATATAAATGCTCGTTAACTGCAATTGCCCCCACAGTCTAAGGCAAAACGGGGGATCTTCCTCTGTTTTGCGGTGGTGCACAAGCAGAATTTAACAAAAACAACACTCCACATGCATCAATAACAACACTGTGGCCTTTGTGGGGAAAAAGATATAACGGGCAACAATTTGGGCAGTGTACCTGAAACGTCAGCTATTATATATTATTTTTATTTTAAGACCAGACACGGTGTTGTTGACATGTGGTGAGTTTTTATTTTCCCTTACCAAATTGTGTTTGTTTTGAAATTAATTGCAGCTGTGAACGAAATTGATGACCTAATATGCACTGAAATGTGGCAGACATTTTTTTTCTGTTTGCACCAGGTATGTATTAGGACCCTGGTTGAATTTTACAAAGTGACATTTTCCGAAAGTTTTTTTGTTTATAAATATTTAAAACAAGATGCATTGCAGTTCGAGAAACTCCCGTTTATAAATTTTAGGCACGGCTCTGCAAAGAATGTCAACGTTCTCCCTCTGCTTTGTGACAAATCTCGTTAGCCAAGCAGGACCCTTTGCTTGGATAGCGTTCGGCTTGGGGTGACTACCACCATCGGGTTATTTTAGAGAATTATTTTATTGGTTTATTTTTATTATTTTATTCCATTCTACGTGACTTTACCGAAAGAACCAAAAAGATGAATCCCTGCAGTCACGAAATCTTTTATTTTATTATGTTTTATTTTTATTATTTTATTATTTTCATTCTACGTGACTTTACCGAAAGAACCAAGAAGATGAATCCCTGCGGTCACGAAAGCTTTACATCAAAATATTTTAGAGGTGTCTGGTGGGGCCATTCCACGCGTTGGTTAGCAGAGCGGCAGTGCACCGAAATCTGTAGCGGTTTTTGTACTTCTATTGCTCCACGTAGTGATCCCTGCCTTCACCAGCCTGCACTCGCAGCTTCGGTGAAGTATGGTCGCCTAATCGCCCACTCCCAGGGAGCGGCATGTGGAAGCTCTCGTTTAGCGGTGGACTGACAAACCGGGACGCTGTACGCGTAGGAAAAATGTGGTAACGCTAACCTCCGACATCCTCGAGAGAAAGGGGTACACCGTCCAATTGCCTTCCACCTGCAAGAGCACCTTGATCAATGTGTGCGCAACACTACATTACCTTGTACCTTGTGAAAGTGAGATGAATGCCAGCTCCGCACAGACGCGCGTGTATTTACTCACCCGTGGAGGAGTCGCGGACGTGTGTATGAATGGACGTTTCTCATGCCGTAGCTTACCATGTGCTCGCGTGTCTGCGGTTGATTTGTGGTCACGCGCGTACTCGCTCGCCTGTCCCGTGTACGTCGATGTGTAATTGCGTGTGTGCCTGGGGGAGCGGTGCTGCTAGCGGTTAGCACGCTGTGCCACGGACGCACAAAACAGTTTGATTCCCGGCCACGGCTAACATCAGGCATTTGTCTGATGCAGTTGAGTCGCCAATTCGGTAAGATGGTTATTAACTACCTCGCCTGGTAATACAGCAGGTCGTGGATTCAATCCCAACCATGACGCGTGTATCTTTTTACTGTTTCCATGTCTCTCTCTGGGTCGTCCGGTTTTTCCCTCCCACATTTTGGAATCAACATCACACGATTAGAGTATATTTGGCCGCTATAAATGTCCACGTAATAAGGCCACTTCCATTGTGCTATCATTTGTGGCCAGGTCGCTTGTGAAAAAGAGCTTGTACAGCTTCGGTGGGCCTTACCGGGCAAACAAAAAATGCTCACTAGTTTTAAACAAGCACCTGGGTGCGATTGTGTAAACATGAGCACAGGGGAGCCAGGCGGTCAACAATGGTGCTGGCTTCACGATCTCCTAGTAAGTCGTGCTATCCCTCCAAAGGTCCCTGCTAACAGCACTTGCTCCAAACAGCCTCTGTAGGTTCATACGGGGAGGTGGGGTGGCACACAGTTGACTTTGTCGTCGTGACTGTACTTGTCTTTTCATTTTTTGTCCCCAAGATGTGGTCATGCCGGGCTGAAGACTTGATGAGTCAGCGGCGGAACAACTGTGAGCTCCTTGTAGAGCTGGAACATGATGCTGGGGTAAGACTCCATTAGTTTGCAACAATTTAAATAATAAATAATTAACACACCCCGCCCCTCCCCCCCTGAAGGTCAATGAATAAATGCTTCTCGTAATGATCGCACCGATTGCCTGCATCCTGTCATCCGATCGATATTGTGCATCGCATTAGAATTAGCAAATGTCAACAGTTAATAACCAATTTGTTAAAGTGTTGTTCAGTTGCTTATCCTCCATTTAACCAGGCTGGTGACATTATTATTATTTTAACTGGGGTGGAAAAGAGAGATGGGGGTGGGGTGGAAAACGAACTATCCATTGATATCTCGTTCCGTTTGGCAGGCAATCGTAAATAATGTATTAACTGCGATATTGTCCTGGGAGTAATGGGGTGTTGAGCAGGTCATTTAAAAAGTCCTAACTTTGATTTGAAATCTACAGTAAAGGATTTCTTGGAAACTATCGTGTGGCTAAATTTCTTCCAGCAGCTTTGGTTTCCTTCCACGCATGAAATTCACAGCCTCTTTGTTCATCCACTGCTAGATGAAGGGCCCCCCCCCCCTTCATCCGGCAGTTATTTAATCATACTTCATTATGCTGGTCGGCACAATTCGGACTGAGTTTTTAGACATCGCCTGCTACTGGCGCACGCCATCTTATTGTTACAAACAGACCGCCTGGTTTTATTTGATCACTCGCGCAATGGCCTCAGCTTGGCCAGGCCGCCACGGAGACGTGGATACGTGCAACCCAAGTGGGGGGCCAGCGTCGAGCCAGACTCGAGTGAGGGCACGCGACAAGGCGGAACGCAGTCACGCACCGAGTCCTAACGCGGCCGAAAACCCGCCGGCACGCACGTCGTACCCGTCGTACCCGCAGGTGTGCTGCATGCACGTGAACGAGGCCAACACGATGCTCGTTTCCGGAGCCAAAGACGGCCTCGTCACCATATGGGATCTGGAGGCCTACGTGGTGCTGAGGCAGCTCCACGCGCACGCGGGCACCGTCAACGACATCGCCTTCAGTCCCGGTGAGAGTCGGAGGGCCTTTGGAGCTTGGGTTCAAGTCTGGATCGGAGGGTGGCTGTTGGCTCGGCAGTTCGGATTGGGAGCAAGGGTTATAATTGGTGTGAGCGAAATATTTGGATGGTTGGGTGAATGTTAGGGTTTGGTTCTCGGGTTACAGTTTGCGCTTGGGTTAGGAGTTTGAGCCCTAGTTAGGAGCTGGGGTTAGAGCTAGGGTTAAGGCGAGCTTTACAGTGGGTGTTTGCATTGGCTCTATGTTCGGGCTGAAGGCTAAGTTCAGCACCTAGGGTTAAGGCTAAAGGTTTGGTGAGGGTTGTCGTCCGTGTTTAGTGTTAGGGTGATGGTTATAGCTTTAAGCACAAGAACTAAGATTAAGATTAAGGGTTGGGTTTAGTGTTTGGACAAGGATTAGGAATAGGGTTATGATAAAGACTTGAATTGTGGTGAGGCTTACAGTTATAGCTCATGATATTGTACATGTTATTCGACATCTCTCCATTCTTTTATCTTCCTGCTCTGTCCGCTGCTGCATGAAGATTAAAATCACGCATCTAACCTGCGTGTACGTTCTCTTCTATATGTTGGTGTAACCTTTGTAGTAAGGACCGGTTCTCGGACTAGATGTGAGAGCTCGGGCGTTGGGGGTTAAGTTCTGGCTGCCCTAGGGAGTAACGAGGGTGAGGAGTGATTTGGCTCTGCGGTGCGTGCGGCCCAAGCGCTAATGAGTGCTCCGTACAGGTTGTGCATCGTTACACTCTGCACTGGCACTGTGATGGCGTGAGGGGGGGAGGGCAACTGGGCACGTCTGCCATTCGCCCTAGAGCAGCCCACTTGGCAAACCACATTGTGTTTTGATAATAATTTTCATGATCATTTATACAGCTGTTTTTGTCATCTGGTAAATTATCACTTCTTCGGGATGAAGTCCTCCCCAACGCCATGTCGGTCATTGAGGTTGTTTGACCATACTTCACCAGGCTGGTCAATGCGTGTTGGAGAAGAGGGAGGGGGGGGGGGGATGCTCAGGATCAAATTTGGATATCGTTCGCCACTGATGATGATGAGGATGATAATTTACAATTCTAAAGCGCCTTTTCACCGTAGATCCCTATGTTTGTATGTTGATCTTCTTTCGCACCGCACCTAGCCAACCGTGGTAATCGGAGGTGCGGACGAGCGCCGTTCAAAACGTACGGCGAGACTATCGCCAATAAAACGCAACCCAAAACGAAAGATTCAAGAAATATAAATAGATACATCCCTTTTCAGAATAAGTTCGTCCTTAAGTTGATTAAAATTTTTTTTATATATATAAGCCCGGGAGTTGAGAATCAAACTCCGAAGCCTGGTGGATTTGTAGTGCGATGCACCAAGCGCTGAGCGACCGGTCTCTCGTGTTCAGCGAGCCGACTGCTTGTGGTGAGGGTGTCCGGGCACGCTGCGCGACAATCTGTGGGCCCCCCATTTTCGATACCTGGCCGCACGCAGATGCTGAAATTGGTGTCTGAACCTGGCCCCCCCCTGGGGTTCCGCTAAGTCCACCTCGGCGTGAACCGGCTAGCACGGTGTGCCGAACATCGACACCGGGGGGACGAGACGTCACCAAGTGTGCGTGTGGTGCTGGCTGAGTGCCACGTTCATCTTAATTGACGCTTGCTGACGGTGCTTGCTTGAGGCAGCCTATACATATAAATGAAGAATACTTATTCTTATCTTGTGCCCTGATAGCTTGCGTGTGTGGGGAGCGGTGGCGCAGTGGTTAGTGTGGTGTTCTACGAACTCGGCGACCCGTGTTGGATTGCCGCTCACGGTCAATGTCGGTCCTGATTTATCTGAACTGGTCTTGGAGCTCCCCTGAGTCGACTCTGTCTCAAATGAGTGCCTGGTGCGGTGTGTAAACATTGTCACTGGGGAGACGAGGCGTGCCGGCCTTCATAGGTGCTCGCTAACAGCACTTGCTCCTACAGTCTATCAAGCCAATACGGAGGATCTTTGTGTATGCATGCCTTTGGCCAAATCACCGGCGGTACGTTCGATATAGTCATTCTTTCAAGCTAAGCAGCTTTGTTCTGGATAGTGCTTGTGAAGGGTGGGACCACAATGCTCTTGGGTTGCTGCAGGCTTCGTGGGGATAGTGGTGGGCAGTTGTAGGCAGTGCACAAAAGATCGGTTGTACTATTCTATGCTACGCACTCCTTTTTTCTGCCGACCCACACTGAATCGGCGTGGTGAATCCTGGTTAAATAACCCCTGGTGACCCGCACAGCGGGGCAGGGTGAGACCTCGTCCAACAGTTAATCTACAGAAGGTCTGCTGTACTTGCACACACGTGCACGTCGCTGGCCACAGCATGCCCTGCTGTGCCTAGATGGCCCTAAATAGGCGTGCACCAACACTGCTTGCCCTTGGCAGTCTTATGGAGATACTCTTTTTCTCTTTCTTTTTTTTCTCTTTTGCACTTATGATGGATTACGTATAGGTATACGTGTGTGTGTGTGTGTGTTTCTCGACAGATGGGCGGCACTTGCTAAGCTGCGGGGATGATGGATACCTGAAGGTTGTGGACGTACAAACCGGCACTGTCACCGCTTCGTGTTTGGCGAACACACCTCAAAGGTGAGGTTGCGCTTCACTGTTGTGTCGGTTTTTTGCGAGCGCACACGTGTGCACGCACGCGCGTGCTGCTGCTTGGCCCTCCGATGTGCTTTCGGGGTCGCGCCGCGCGATGTCCGACGTTTCGCTCCACGTGCCGGGGAGCTTCTTCAGGAACTGAAGTGAAGCGAGCTGCCCAGGTCTGTTCCAGACATCGTGCGGAACGGCACTCTCACTTTTATCTGAAAACATTCCGGCGAGTGTGAGCTTTGCTCTTTTTGCATTTGTGGTTATTTGTGCTGTCGATTGTCCATGAAGACGTTTCCATTTGGAAATCTCACAGCCAGCAGAGATTGGCCCACAAAAGAGGACGTTGTAGAACTACTTTGACGTCGCATCAGTTGGCCTTTTTGTCCAAGATGTGCAGGGTTGACATGTAACCAGCATGGTGAGGTATGGTCAAACAACGCACACAACTGACACGGTGTGAGCCTTCATCAAGCAGTGGATTAACAAAGGGCTGTACATTAGCATAACTTTGGCGGCTTGTGTAATTCTTCTTCTCAAGCAAACATAAATTAATCCTCTCCATTGAATTGTCATTTGAACAATGGCGCATTATTCAATTTAACTATCTTGCTGAGCATATGGTTGTGGGTTTTTGTGCCCGCTACATTAGAGTAATTCTGCAATGAATAAGCGGCGCCAAACATCTCGGTACAAATACTAAAATAACCGAACGAAAACGCGTCTGAAATAATTGGAAGATTTGTTTTTTTTAATATGTAAACTCCCTGCGGTAAACGAAATGTGCGACCCCATGTTTTTTTGGAACGCGTCGTGAAAAATACACTGGCTGCCATCATCGGCGCCTCGCGGAGGCGGCCACCCTTGCCCTCCCGTCTGCAGCCGCGGCGCTAAAATATTCGGCGGCACGGCCGCGGGCAGCAATCCCAGCCCCAACGTTCATCCGCCGTTCGTGCCTGCACCACGGTGGGGGGGTGGGCGGTGACGATTCGCCAACCCAGTGCCCCTGCTGGGACACCACGGCCGGTCCTTACTGGGCATCTGTGGAAAGGAGATTCATAGTTGATAGGATTCCTCCTTCAGTCAAAATAAAGATTTTGTTTCTACGCCAAAGTAAATCCCGCTGCCCTCATTCGCCTGGTTGTGACCTCGCTTGGCTGGCATCGCACCCACGAGCGTGTGGACTACTAAGATCTGCGTCCTCGCGCTCAAATCCATCTATGGCCCTCCTGCCTCTCGCCTCCAGCCTCCCTCTGCTCCCGGGATCTGCTGCTGCTGCTTTGGTGGTGGCCGTTCTTTTAGCTCTCTGTTCGTCTGGATCTCTGTGGGTTGGTTCAAGTTCATGTATTAGGTATAGCCCTGTGAGCCATTCGGCTCTTGAATCGGGTACAACCGCAACAAACAAAAAACATGAACAAAAAAAATCTTAAAGTGAATATGTGACTGAGTGCAAACGGATAATCCAAGAAAAGACAGCAAAATATTGCAGAAAAAAACACCGTACACCAACGCTGTGTGCAAAAATCCCAGTGGGATGCAAGTCAACCAACAACAACCACAAGACAACTTAGATTAAGGCCATCGGTTGGTGGCCGCTCTTCGCCATTACGCCCCCCACTCTCTCTAACTCCCTCCCCAGGCAACGCCACCTGGTCCCCCCCCCCCCCCCCTCTTGGCTTTTCAAATTTCCTCTCAAATCCTTCCTCTTCAATCCCGTGCTGTTGGGACTCCTTTAATTGCTTCCTTTCTCTCCCTTCCCCCTGCTCTGTCGCTCACGTTCCCTCCCGCTCTGCATGTGTATGTACCTATGTTGAACTTCTGTCTCGCCGTATTTCTGAGATGTTTGTTTCTTTTTGGACTCAGGCCAAATGTAAGATTGCACTTGGTGGATGAAAGCAAATGTGCACCAACATCTGTTTTGTGTTTACGCACACGCATACAATAAAATATCGCAGCAAAGTCAGGCTTGTTGAACGGATGCTGCTGTGGTTTACCAGATGTTATTGGCAAGAACACTTCATGTTAACTATGGGGGGGGGGGGCCCGTTGAGTGAGTTTGCGCACCAGGTGGATAGGTGTGTGCGTAGGGAGACAAACGCGGTCGGGCGTGGTGCTGGCCACCCACCCCCTCGTGTGCTGTGCCGCACTTTATAGGTGCTCACGAACAGCACTTGCCCCAACAGTCTATTTAGGCTATACGGGGGAGTCTTTGTTTTTGTGTGTGTCCGGATTTTGTAATGTGATTCATGGCCCTGTATCATCTCCTGCGATTCCGATGATTTAAATTTTTGCGTAGTTTTTTGGAGCCGCGATTTCAGTTCAAGAACTTTTTTTTTTTCCGTTTGTAGGGTTTCTGATTTTTTTCGCTGTACTGTTTTGCACCGTTTAATTTGCACACATTTAACATTTAATGAAAACTTTGTTTTTTTTCGGTAAAGTCGCGTAGGTATAAAATAAATGGAAACAACTAAAAATCGCGACGTTTCGGGCGCAACACAAGCATCCTTCTTCAGGTGGGGACAACGTAGCGAAAGCACAATGCTTAAGTATGTCTAAGAGATGGCTGTGACGGACATTCATAGCCGCCAAGTATTCTAAACGCATGTTAATTCTAAGCGTGGAGAGAAAAACAAGAGGACCTGGAGAAAAATCCACGTGACTACAGGGAGACCATGCAAACTCCAAATATACAGCAGGCATCAGGGTCGGGATCGAACCCAGGACTTCCTGTATACCAGGCGATGTAGTTAAGATCTCACCACTGTGGTGCCCTTGATGAAACACTGAGTTGGTACGTAGGAGGCATGTAATGATTCACCACGCAGGCAATTTTGTCACCACGCTTATTTCGAAGACGGCTCTCGCGTTTCGTATCGTTTTAATATCTTAAGGATGCTACCGTGGTATAACGGTTGGGCACACCAGACTGCCATCCAGATGTTGTCGCGTTGTTCTCGCAGCACGGCAGTTGAAGCAATGGGCTCAGTCTCTTGTCCCCCCCCCCTCGCCGTCTCTGTCCATCCCATCAACATAATTAGTCGATCGGCAAAGCCACCTATATCCTTGGGTGCTCTCACCTCTTTTACGATGCAAGAAATTGCAGGGCTGCACCTCTGCCTTTTGATTTCATTACCATATGGCCTGGGTGTGATTTGGTTCTACAGTACATTAATGGTTCTTTTGCAAGGGAATGAAGGTTGCGTTGGTGACTGCCAAAGGGACCAATTTGACTCTGGGGGAATAGTATTTGACGAGTGTAGGCGAGGTGATGGTTGAGTAATAATGGAATGGTCGTTTGTGTGTGTGGGAAGCGGAAGGGTAGTGGTTAGCATGCTACGCTACGAACCCAGCGATCAGAGTTCGATTCCGCTCGTGGGTAACACCAGTGACGACTATCTCAACCGGTCCTGGGCCTCCCCTAGGTTGACTGCCTCAACTGAGTACCCGGTGCGGTGTCTAAACATCGCCACTCGCGAGAGAGGCACAGGACGTTGTGCTGACCAACTTACCCCCTCGTGCACCGTGCCGGCCTTCATAGGTGCTCGCTAACGGCACTGGCCCCAACAGTCTGCTAAAGGCTCTACGGGGAATCTCTGTCTTTGATTTGCAGGTGTTTGCGCTGGGATGGGCACACGGCGTTGACGGGCAGTCAGGATGGAGAGCTCCGCGTGTGGAATGGAACCACCCTGGAGCTTACCAGCAGAATCCCCGGACACAACGGTGAGTCGGAGCCGTTCCAAAGCCAACAAAAATCGCAACGCACACCACCCAGGGTGATCATCTTTTTGATATGTGATTTGCCCAAAACGGTAAGGGCCTCTTTCGATTTAAAGCTTTCGTGACTGCAGGGATCCATCTTCTTGGTTCTTTCGGTAGAATAAAATTTTATTTTATTATGTTTTATTTTTATTATTTTATTACTTCCCTTCTACGTGACTTTACCGAAAGAACCAAGAAGGTAGGGGCCTCGTTTTTTGTAAAAAAAAATTTTGCATTTCCTCCCAAATTTCATGCCAGGTTGTGCTATATCGGTATCGTGCCATGGCATAGTCAATTTGGATCTCTAGCAGAGCATCGCATCCCTTCGTGTTAGGGAATGGGGGCACAGAAGCAGATATCGGAGCCTACATCCATTACTTTCCAGTGACCTCTACCCCAGCAGAAGGTGTCACGTTCCCACTCGCGCAACATATGCGAGGTGATCTCTCCTCGCGTGAGAGTCGTATCAATATTTTAACTCTCGGAGCTGGAATATCGCCAAATTATGCACAGAACCACATTTTACGTGGTGGATTTTTTTCTGTGCACTCGTGGGGGTGACCCAGCAGAGACCCTCAGCTCCGCAGCACTTGAGAGAGAAACCTGGTGTAATCTGGTATAGCCTGGTATATAATCGCAGTGAGCGGCTGAAATTAGGATTTTTGCCAGAGATCTTGGCAGCGCTTGCTGTGCGTCCCTGACCTGCGAGCCACCCGGCCAACCTCCCAGCAAATCCCCAATTCTTATCGCAAACCAAAAAAACATGCGTCTGCTGAAGGACATTGGAGGTGAAAAGGGACTGGGTGGTCCGGTCGAACACGTCGCTTGCTGTGGAGCATTGGATTAATTGAAGTCCACTTGCACTGCACCATTGAACCTGCGCGCGTGTGTGTGGGGGACTTGCGAAGAACCCACTTTCTGGTGAGCTCGGCTAATTGAAATGAAGATAATTCATTGCTGTCCGTCCCCTACCCCCCCCCCCCTTCCTGCCATTTTCGGTCGATCCGTTTGCTCCTTTGCTCTGGCTTACGCACGCACTTACGAGTGCTTAAGGGAAAACCCAGCGGGCCAAGTTCATTTTGCTAATCAAAGGTAGAGTTTGATTTATCCCCTTTTTAAAAAAAGAATCATTCACCCGGCAGCGAAATAATGTGTTTAATCATCGACTGCTGATCGCGTGTTGACCATCCCGGAGTTGTGGTCCACCTCCACGTTACTCCGTTTTGGTTAAGTGACACTCACTTTGTTTTTTTTGGTAAAGCCGCGTAGGTGAAAACAAAATAAAATAAAACAACTAAATTAAATCACCAATTTTTATTTAATTTAATTTTCACCTACGTGACTTTACCGAAAAAAACAAAGAATGTGGATCCTTGCAGTCACGAAAACTTAAAATCTAAAATTAGTCCCACTATCTTGATATGGGCGCTCGGGGTCAGGTCCTGACACCTTGAGTAATACGTCTCGTGATGGAGTTTTAGTTTTATCTCACTTAAAGAAGGAAATCCTTTAAATGCAAGAGTTTATCTTAACCCCCCCGCAGTAGCACATTTTTACATTGCAGTATCGTGAGATGGCGATGGTGGGGAGGCCCTTCATCCAGCAGTGGATTGACCATTGCTGCTGACAGAGGGAACTATTCTCATCATGGGCTGGGGAAGTTGTATAAAGGACGTAACATTTGTTTGATTATAAAATAATTTGCAGTAAATGTAAGGTAATTTTTAAGTTTGTTGGAAACCACATTTCTAGATAAATTGGTTCCCAAATTCGAGAACTGCATAAGGCAACACTGAGCTTGATGACGATGATAACGTGATGGATGATTAATGAATGACGTGCCGATTTATTGATGCTGATCGTGACACTGATGGATGATTCGCGTATAATAATCACGTTGATGATGATGGTTCACGTGACCGATTGATGGCTGTGATTTAACGACTACGATCGATTGCGATAATAATTACAATCATGATTATTTTGGCGATCACCGCTGCAGGAGCCGTCACGTGTCTGCACTTGGACGAGACGAAGGGCTCGCTGATCAGCGGTGGAGAGGACAAACAAATAATCTTCTGGACTCTGCGCTAAGCGTCGTCCCACGCCTACCTCGCGACTTCCTTCGGGCGGAACCAGCCACCGTCGGGGAGGGAGCACAGAATGCGTGGAACCTCCCTCGGCGATACGACGCCGCTGCGGTGAATCCTGTGCCAACTGCGGTCTCCGTCCGTTCACCGTCTCCGCTCTGTCGAGGGGCCCTTGAGCTCCAGCGCGAGGGAGGCTCCTTGGTTTCCCCTTGGCGACTGAGCGAGTGAGAGCGTGCGCGTGCCGGGCTGTGTTCTCTGCATTGCGACGTTTGCCCACCAACTTGGAACGTGAAAAGCCTTGCCGTTGTTTACACTAAAAGGACCCCCGTGGAACTGCTGGGGGGGGGGGTGAAGTGTTAGGAAGCTATCGCCCGCGTAATGCTGATTTTACAGGAATGGTCTATCCTTCTTAAAATCCGAAGCCAGACGGAGTGCCCTGTTATTATTAATTGTCTGTAAAGTATTTACATTGTGAACGCGATTCCTGTTGAATTCTGTTTTTGTACAATTCGCGTTTTAATCCGTATCGACCCGCTGCATTTGAATTCTCCGAAGGTCCGATATTCAAGCCGAGACTTCACTGCACTGCTTTGTCGGGGGGTGCGATGCACTCGGCGTTTGCGCAACTCTCCTCCACTCGATCCGAGACATTCTGTACGCGCGTGAGATGGTTGTTTAGCAGAAACGAAACCCGCAAATAATGCCTCGCCGTTAAACTGTTTTGTTCCTTCGATCCTACAGCTGCAATTTGCAAGGTGTCATGGCGGGGGGCAGGGGGGGGTGGGTAAACGTGAGTCGCGCAGCAGCCCGTGGTGTCACGGTTGACGGCAGCGGACTTGCAACCCCGAGGTTTGCTGGTTCCGTTCAACCTTCCCGTCACGGGTTGACCACAAGTTGAGCGGTGGGGTAAAGCCGTGGGCACTCTCGCCCCTGCTCTTCTGAGACGATGTCTTGGCCAGCGTGGAAGAGTAGGCCAAAGACGCCTTCTAGTATATCGAGGGACTCTCTCGAGGTCGGCCCGCTGCCAGTGGCGTGACAAATTGCAGGTCGGAACCCTGATTTACCCAGCGGTGAACGGAAGCGGTTCGGCGTGGGCGGGAATTTAGTTTTATTTTTTATTTTCGTGGATTTGGTGGCCTCGTACAGTATTTACTGTAATTATGAAAACCACTGCACGGTTGAATTATGACATTCGCAATAACTGCCTTCTGATAATACCCTCTACGTTCGTGTTGGCCAAATTTAGGCGGCTGCAGAAAGCTATTGCATGTACCGCACACATTGATTATTGCTTTTATATACATATAAAACAGGTCGACGAAAATGAATGAATGGCGCAAAATACAATTTCGTCCCTCCCCATTTTGGGGACGACCCCCATCAGCTGGAAAATGACGCCCGTTCATTCCTCGGCGCGACTTATGGGTTCGTTTTCATTTAGCTGGCGGGGGTGTTATTGCGTCCAACAAAGACATTAAGCTGTGCCTTTTTTTTTTTGGTCGTGAGCTCGGGCTGATGAAGATGGGATCGGTGCTCCACAAAACGGCCTTCACGTGCGACGCAGCACAGAGCAGCTGACCCGTGCCCTGCTGCGAAATCTTAGCCGGAGCGAATCCAGTATGACGTTGACAACTGTTGGCGCTAAATATTACCAATTTAACCAGCAAAGCCACACCGACACTCTTGCCAGGATAGGCTTTGATTAGGATGTTCTGGCCAACTCACAAATTAAATTGTTATAGTTTATTTCTCCCCCCCCCCAGTCTGGAATCGAACCCTGGCAGGGCTTGCTGCGAAACACGAGAGTTACCACTACGCCATCCTGGCGGCCCAACAAAGCTACGGCTTTCTCCGCACGTGGCGCTTTGCCCGAGGTGTCGCATTTTAAACTTGGTATTGTGCTCGTGAATTATTTTGCGACCTTAATGGTGGTGCTGTTTGTTTTTTTGTTCGTGCATCCTACTTAATAGTTAACGTGCTGCCTTTCTTTTGCGAAATGCACGACAGAGACGACACCCCATGGCTGCCGAGTGCCTTCAAATCATCATCATCATCATGCCACTAACTGCATATATAGGATTGCGCCAAAGGTTTTATACATGCTATTCGTATTCATTAAAACGGCTTGTGATTTAAAGTATCCTGCCAGGAATGGAAATTGAAGGTTATAATTTATATAGAAGATAATCCCAACCCAAAGAGTGTTGCTACATTGCAGATAAGGCTTTCTCATTAATTGCCTTAATTCTTCGCGCGAGAATCTGCATAAGATGCGTGGTGCGGTGCACATGTTCGATTCTTACCCAATGCATTATACACCGGTGGCAATTAGAATCTGAACCTGGCCTGATCCACCACCTGGGTTTAACTCGGCCCATAATAACGAGTGGCTGGTGCAGTGGTCCTGATCGAATTGGCGCTGGGGAGAGTGCAGTCTGCGCGGGGGTGCCGCTCTTCACCATCGTTTGCCGTCTTCCGCCAAGACGACACTCCTCGAACGGCGGCTGCTGCTCGCTCGCGGACGGCGGCAGCGCCGTGTGTAGTGGGGGGGGGGGGGTACATCGATGCGCCGCACCCGACGTTCAAGGCGTTAGAGGCTCGTCGCGACGCACGCGGCAAAGGTTGCACATGCGCACGTTTTAAAATGTCAGCAGGTGACGCGGTCGTCGTCACGTCCGTGCGCGTGTTGCGAACAAAAGTACGACACTGAAAATGAGATCGGTACAGACACGATGGTTAAACACGCACGGGGGGAGGGGGGGGTAGCGTTTAAACCCTTGCACCCCCCCCCCCTGCCCACCACAATAAGCTTAAAAGGATAACCATGCACACGCAGTGTATTTGTCATTGTCTTATAACGACATCTGTTAGAATGCATCGCTTAACAGCTCGTCGTTGGCATTGGTGTTAGCCAGTGTCAGCACAGGCTTTCGCGACCAGTAATACAGGTTTTTTTGGGTTGGATCACGTAAATATCAAGATGTCTGTTAAATCCGACAGCCAATTGGTAAGGTTTGTCACGTAAGCAGAACATGCCATTTCGTTAAGAATGTAGCACATCGTTTTGTTGGAAAGCAAATCTACAACATTTACAATCTGAGTGCGACGCTTCGCCAGTAATTACAACCGGCATTGCTGGCGTGACGTCAGATGGTAAACGTGGATTTACTGGATTTACTCTCCAACACACTGCTGTGCTTGTAACGAATTTACATGTTCTGTTTACGTGACGAACCTTACTATTTGGCTGGTGTCGGGGTGGTGGCGGATTTTAACGACACATTTACGCGATCGAACCCAAAAAATAACTTTAATTATGGATTGGTGTTAACGTTCAACGCATTCTTTCCCACTGATGCGATGATCGTTGCAATGCCACAGCTGTCGCCGGACGCCCACCGAGGAACGCTCCTGCGGTGTTGTTTGTCGTTTCGTTTTTATTCTTACCACCACAGCACCTCCCGATGTTAGCACGGTCGGCTACGGACGGTGCCAAAAGTTCAACGTGCGTACGATGGTAGCAACGCAGGGCATCATGTGAAAGCACGCCGCCGTTTTCGTCTGCACGCACACGTGTTAAATATCGCATTTGTCTGACAGTGGATGTTGTGTACAAACATAATTACGCCAAATAAATAACCAGCTTTTTAAATATACAGCGTCATCCACCGATTTTTGTTGCAAATGGGTGACGTACTTGTACCGCAGTGAGTGGTTTCAATCTTTGCACGCGACTCGTGTGATTTTTTTTTTTTTTCCCGAGAACATGACGGCTGATGTATTCATCATCACGCTTTTACTAAAATACGCTTCTCCCAGCAGACCATAGGTGTCGTAATGCTGTCGGCACAGGCGCGTGTTTTCAGCTGCTCCATACTCGCGATGACCGCCTTCACAGCTGAACACATCGGCTTTCGTGACCAAATATTCAAAATACAGGTTTACATAATACAACAACCTGCTTTATGGATGCCTTCACAGCCTTGACTGTCGAGACTGGAAACCTTCCACCAGAGCACCGTCCTTTGTTTTGAAGGTCCAAACCAGATGCGAGTCCAAATGGACTAGTTCTGGGCCGTGTGCCGACTTGTCTCCATATCGGTCCATCCAACTCGGCCCCCCCCCCCCCAACTCGGTTGTTGCACGCGGGGAATAGTTCGCGGTTAAAGTCCGGAAGGCTTCCCTGGTTAGTACTATGGCTTTTTGGCTCGCAGCGGCTTTTGGCTGGCCATCGAACAAAGACTGGTCACCAACATCGCGCGCGTTTTCAGATGCGCTTCCGCGGCCGTCTGGAACGCTCTTCTGATATTAGGAAGCCATCAGAACTATGCACTTTTATATCCAGATTAAAAATGCATTTCTTTTTAGAACTGCTTTGTTTAGTGTGTTCTTCCTCCGATTATCACGGTTGGCTACATACAAAGCGAAATAAGTTATACATATATACATTAACCATAATGTAAAAGAATACCCGCAGCCTGCTTTACAGTCGGCATTAATAGGCCATTGTGTGCTGGCGGTTGTGGTCCAAATTCGCAAAAAATACCTGCAAATAATTACTCTGTTGGGTTGACACGTAACTGATTGTCCCATACTTCGACTCGTACCCACTTTCAGACCAGTTGCCGAGGTCTCCTTGTGCGGCACCGTTACAGCTTCCACTGCTCTTTCAAATGCTGGGGTCCCAAGGTGGCGAGATGTTATCTCCCTCACCTGGTGTGCAGGTGGTCGTATGTTCGATCGCGACCCTGACGCCTGCGTGTCTCCCCGTGGTCGCGTGGATTTTTCTCCGGGTCCTGCGGGGTTTCCCTCCACATTTTAGAATCTACATCACGCGTTTAGAGTATGTGGCTAATCTAAATGTCGACTCGGCAAGCCACTTCGTTGAGCTATCATTTGTGGCCAGGTCTCTTCTGAAAAAGGGCGATATAGCTCAGTGTTTCTTTCGGTAAAGTCACGTCGAAGGGAAATAATAAAATAATAAAAATAAAACATACAATAATTCTCACGACGTTTCGGCCACAACACAAGCAGCCCGTCCTCAGGTGAAGACCAGGTCTGTCGGGGAGACAGGGTCAGACGGTCTTCACCTGAGGACGGCTGCTTGCGTTGTGGCCGGAACGTCGTGAGAATGATTTAATTTTGTTTAATTTGTATTATTTTATTATTTCCCTTTTACGTGACTTTACCGAAAGAACCAAGAAGATGAATCCCTGCAGTCATGAAAGCTTTAAATCGAAATTTTAGTTCTTTATTTAGCAGAATTTTTCACCGTCCGGTTGAATTACCCGGACGATCCGTGCCCGACTGCCCTTTAGTGCAAAATTTAAATAAACAAGAATCTCGCTAAATGACAACCAGCAAAAGATTCGTGCCCCAAACGGCTCAAGGGGACGATACATCGTTGAGTCAACCCAGAGCAAGCAAAAAACAATTCTCCATTGTGACTCCAGCTCGAATGGGTCGGGATTTTTGTTGGTAAATCCGTGCGAAAATGCCAAGCAACGTTTCTGCGGCATTGTAAATTTAAGAAAAGCAAAATGGAACTGTCTATGCTCTGCGAGACGCCTTGACTTTGTAAACGTTTACGATGTCTCGTGGAAAGCTAAATTAAGGGAACATAGATTCTAATTATTTATTCCGAAGTCAAACATTATTTTATTTGGTGCTGCTGTTGCTGCTGCGTTGGCAGTGGTGCACAGTCAACAACAACAACCAAGAGCGTCAACTGCACAGCCTTCACTCGAACATGCTTATAACAGGCAACGTTTCGGGTAACGACCCTTCGTCACTGCACATAACTGGAAAGGAAAATGAGGTGGAGTGGATAAGAGTTGGAGACTGTACTTAATACTGGTAGGAACCTGGTTACACCAGCCCACAGGGGATTATTCTGTCCGTCCATCCGTCGTTCATCCAAAAATGGGAGCGGTGGGGGCTGGGTGGAGAGGAACTGGGTGGGGACGGTGGGGCTGGGTGGGAGGGCTGGGTGGGGGGTGGGAGGGGTGGGGCTGGGTGGGGAGGGGCTGGTCACCCCGTGGTGCCCTTATAAAACTCGACGTTTAACTTACGACGGCTTGTGCCCGCCCTCACAGTCGGGCATATTTGCGGAATACACCACGCCGCCGTTGACCCTGGCCATTGACCGAGCAGCCCAACGTTACTACCAGCTCCCTCCGCAGGAATGTGTTTGTATCTCGACCAGCGGTCGGCAACCCGCGGCTCCGGAGTCGCGTGCGGCTCTTTAAGGACCGCTGTTTCATGACACCGTTGTTGTTTAAGAGCAAACACCGTCTCGTATTCACCACGCAGCGCATTGCGGCTCTTCTCGTGATTTTGGATGCGCGCTGACCACTGCACCACCCCTGATGTATACCACGGGGCCTGAGCAAAGTTAAATGTATTCAACATTTTTTTTCCCGATTAACAATTTATAACACCTATCAAACTTTTTCGTTTTAAAGCTTTCGTGACTGCAGGGATTCATATTCTTGGTTCTTTCGGTAAAGTCACGTAGAAGGGAGATAATAAAATAATAAAAATAAAACATAGTAAAATAATACAATTCTCACGACGTTTCGCTGTCTTTCCGACAGACCTGTTCTTCACCTGAGGACGGCTGCTTGCGTTGTGGCCGAAACGTCGTTAGAATTTAATTATTTTATTTTTATTATTGTATTATCTCCCTTCTCCGTGACTTTACCGAAAGAACCAAGAAGATGAATCCCCGCAGTCACGAAAGCTTTAAATCGGAAACTAAAAATTGTTTTATAATAAATCAATTGTTTTATTTTCATTATTGTATTATTTCCCTTCTACGTGACTTTACCGAAGGAACCTTTCAAACTGTTCATCGTAATTTAAATCTCATCAAGCACCGTGGCACACGAAGTGCAGCCGAGCCGGTCTCCACTCTCTACGTGCTGTTGAGTAGGGTCAGTGCCTCAAACGTCGCCTATTGCACACACGTTCTTTCGAAAGGCCACGGTGTTATTTGACGCATGTGATTTTTGATTACTGTAAATGTCAAAGTGTTCAGTTGGTGACTTTCCAGCGCACAAGAGGCGTGCTCTGCCTGCCAGCGGTTGTTATTAAAGTCGTAATGAACGGTGGCGTTTATAGTGTTTGGGTCTTTCGGTAAAGTCACGTCGATAGGTTCAAAGAAAATAACAAAAAATGTACAAAAAAACTTCGACTTTTCGATCACAACACAAGCGATCGTCATCAATCGTTTTTTTGTTATTAGCGTCGTAGTTTTTTGTTATTTAATTGAACCTATTTACGTGACTTTACCCAAAGACCCAAAGAATATGAATTCCTGCAATCACGAAAGCTTTAAGTCCAGTTGTATTTGTAGTTTTCAGCTCCCTGTCAATTACTACTCTTAGGTTTTTTCGGTAAAGTCACGTAGGTAAAAAAAATAAAAATAAAAATCACGACGTTTCGGAGGCAACACAAGCTTCCGTTTTCAGGTGGAACCGTCACAGCACGCTTGCTGTCAAGTCGTCTCGAGAAGCTGTGACTTCTTGTCTCGTTGTCTGTTAAAAACTCTAACAGATAGGTGAAATTCCTCCCCGTAGAGGGTATTAATTCTAGATTTTTTTATTTTTTTATTTTTTACCTACGTGACATTACCGAAATACCTAAGAGTATGAATCATAGCAGTCACGAAAGCTTCAAATCTAGAATCGCTGTCAATTCACTGCTCGATGAAGAATGATCTCCATTGTCAGGTCAGGAATGGGGGTTGTTTGTCCATACTCAGCCACCCCGGTCAGCATGGATTGACAAGATTGAGCCCCAGGACCGATTCAGTCAAACAACTCGCGATTGAATGTGATCCGTGGTCAGGAGTCGAACTCTGGTGAACGTCTTCAGGGTGCCACGTGTGCTGACCACTGTCACTGCCCAAGCACAGGAGTGTACAATATGCATTTGAGTGAGGTGTGTAATAAATCAAAATCGACATTCACTTGAAATCGTAATTATAATTGTATTTCATCACTGGCGAAAGTAGCAGCTGTTAGTGGGTTGAGAGGGGGTTACGGTGAACCCATTCAAATATCATAATTGAAAAATATCGATCCCCATGCTATTTGATGCATTTAGCTGAATACACGCACTGTGCATGTGCAAACTGTTGTGGTTCTTTTATTTTAGAACAATGTTTTCCCCTTCCTGGCAACAACACGTTTTAACATCTTAATACGGCTGTTTTATTGTCGTATTTTGACACTGACAAGAAAGGTCCCATATTGTGTTGTTTTTGTTTGTTCCTCCACTGCTGGATGAGGGCATCCACATGCTGGAGAACCTCGAAAGACATCATCCGTGACGCTCGTTGAGACTTATGGACTCTTCCAGATTGTATCAACTTATTTAACATTTATAGAGCGCCTCGGTTAAAGGTGCTGGACAGAGTTAAAAAAGCGGTTCAAAGAGAAAGCGATTTAGCATGGCGAGGGGCAGTGCGAGAGTCGAGGAGTGAGTGACCCTAAGAGAGAGCACGGAGTGGGGGGGGGGGGTCACGGAATGGTTACAGGGGAGGGACGGGGAGGAGTGGGGGGGGGGGGGGGGGCGAGGGGAGGGAAGAGGAAGGGAATGGGCGATGGAAAAGAGGCGGTGAGGATTTGAGAGAGGAACGAAAGGAGGTTAAGGAGGGGGGACTGCTTCATGTACAGGGGACATGTTGAGTTTATGGACGGTGTTGAGTCTATGGGCAGTCATGAGTCTATGGGCAGTGATGAGTCTATGG